GTCATTAGTTGGAGACATTTGATAAAACTCCAACCAAACTTTTGACAGAAGATTAACACTTCTCTGGGATGATTTTCAACAATGCCATGTCAAGAAAGCTATAAACATTCTTGCCCTCAATGTATTTACATTGTACATGTAATATGTGGCCAACAAAGCAACCAGAGCATCGCCAATCTTTTTGTTTGTTACATGGTACAAAACTATTCCTTCTGCCACCACATATATAATGTCACTTTGATAAATGTCATCCCCTACCAAAATACAGGTTGAACTTGCGTTCTTACCCTTTCAGCAAGGAAAGCGCCATTCTACGATAAAAAGACATAGCAGAAAATTTAGAAAATAAGCTTGAGACTGCACAATAATGTCTTAAGTGTCTACTTTCATTAGGGTTCACAAGTTACTTTTTGTTATGTGAGAAACAAAAATGAAGTAGTATGGTAATACTCATTTTATAGTAAAGATATAATGCCAGTTTTACCTTAACAACTTTGATAACAGCTTCTTTAACATGAGGGGTCCCTACTACTGTTTGGCTGCTTGAAGACAATTTGAGCGATCTTGATAGCTGCTCTACCAGCACATTCGCCTAAAAAATGGCACACACTGCTACACAAATGTTGATCGAGAAACAACTGTTGATCCTTCTTAGCTTTATTTTCTTCAAGAGAATTTCTGATGTGTATAAAGTTGATTATCAGCTGAAATACCTTCTTCAAGGATACCACTGTCAAAAGCATTGTGCGTTTTGTTCAAGTCTTCTGAATTTTTACCCCCATATTTTCTCAGCATAAGCCAACAGCCTGTGACGCCAGACTTTTTTGAAGTTTTCTTTTACCTGTGTAGCTACGTCTTTATTCCCATAACTTTTGCAAATTCAGCCTTGATCTGTAGTAATACAATATAACAGCAGTTACCTTTAAGCTTTGCTAAACTTATGTACGTATTTTATGGGATAAAAATACAACTAGCTACTAACGTATAGCAGATTTTTTAAAGGAGGGAACATTTCAACAACTTCCACTATTCTTCTGACGTCTTCTAAGACAAGTGATCTCCTTGAAGCATAGCATGCAGCCATCAACTCTTGAATTTTTTCATGATCCTTTTTAGCTGACTGCCACTCCTTTTTATTTTTGATACCACTGCTGTAAGATCTTCACTTTCACACGGCTCGGGAACGTTCGTCCAAAGTGACTGTTCCTTTTCTTTGTTGTTTTGCCTTTAGTTTGCGAGACATTGGTAACAGGCGTGTTAGATCTCTTTCTTTGCAATTTTTTGAATAGGTTATAGATTTTCATCTCAATAGATCCCTATAAAAGAAAGCTTTCATTTACAAGTAATAAAAGACAAATAAATTTATTTTTTATCATTAACAAAATAGAGACGCAAGCAGCCCATTACAACTAACATGCATATAACAAGGTGATAATGTACATTTGCATCACATAGTTTGGATTAAGGGATGGGATGGGAAGATGCGTCCACTTCTCATCACAAATACTAAAGCCTAGTAATTCTATCAACATTGAAGGTTCATATCAATTATAAGTGTATGAGAACGCGCTTACTAATTGTTGTAAGTAATTTAATCCCAAAAATGTGGAGTTCAGTCAGATCAAAAGCAATTGTGAATAGAAATAAATGGACGATGTCACTATAATTGGTAAAATCTACGAACGTAATAAATATATAACAGAATTTAACAATATAAGTCTGACATTCTTTGGCAACAAATACGTACTCACAGAAATCACATCCACTCTAGACAAGTAGTAACCTAAACCACACCCAAGCTATTCCCAAAGACACACCCCTACCAAAAAAATCGTGAATACACATCTCTGATTTACATTTTTGTGTTAGTTAGTTAGTCACCCAGTTAATGATTTTAGCAGGCATGATAATAAGATATTGAGGTGTGACGTCATTAAATGTATTTGTCATGACTGTTAGCAAAAAGAACGTGTGGTTTCTTTAAAAGAGATTTATTGAGGCAAGTTAAAACTTTGTAACTGCCCAAAATGCTTTCTGAAGTACAAAGTTTTAACTTGTCTGGCAAAATCACTTTTGAGAGTTCATACATTCTTACTTTTGCTAACAGTAAAATACAATTAATGACATCACACATGTCAGCTTTAAGAAATTCCTATTGCTTACAAGGAGCTAACATTCATGTGATAAACATTCATTATTATTTGACACATTAGTATAATGAAACAAAACAAAACGATAATTGAACAAAATGTCATATTATAAACACTTTTAAGTATCATTTACCCATGGCTTTGAGTTTGTATCTAATAGTGGATCCTTCAGGAATGGATATGATTCAACAATCATAAGCGCAATCTTTACACTTTCTGTTTTTCTGGGTTGGTTTGTATATCTTAGCACACATATCTTGTGCAGACATCTCTGATGAGCTCGTTAATCAGATTTGGATGTAAATACTCTGTTTTCAGCACAGCTTCAACAGCATAAGAATACTAAAACACAAAAATATTTGTTCTGACCAGTCTTCTCCTCCCGAAAAAATGGTTAGAGGCTATTTTAGGGGCAAGATAATGTCAGAAATTTAGAACTACAAATGTGGTTTTGAAATTTATAAAATGGGTAAAGAAATGGCCGTTGAGAGACTAAATCTAAAACAAAAGCTGATCATTCATCAGCTCACCTCTAAAAGGACTTAAACCTTAATAACTTTTGTAAGCCTTTAACTTTAACCACCCACTTAAGCTTAATATTCTTACTATACTGTATAATAAATGAGCTGCTGTTAGTGTATTGTACTTACATGATTTGGAATTTTGTAGTTCCGTGACCAATCCTGAAACAAGTAAAATATTACTAAATTGCAAATTAGATTTTTAGAAGTACTTCAATTTCCATTTATTGAACAAATGACAATAAACTTGCATACTTTTGAGGTACTGGCAAATTGCATTTGGGCACTAAAAATTACAAATGAACTATTAATGAATGTTCACAGCAAGTTTAAGTAGGAATCAGTGTGCGAATAAAAGGTGTGCAATGTGCAGTTTGCACATCGTTTTAGCTAAAATGAAAGCAATTGCACATCACTTTTTCAAACGATGTGCAAAAATCAGCGGTTTTAACGAAAAACACTGTTGTAAATCATATGGATTTGTTCACTTTTGAAAATATTAATTTAGCAATTAGCGCTATATAATAATTAACGTAATATCGATTTGATTATGCCTATAAGGAAACACTTTTGTCAAAAAAATTGTACATCGTTTTTTCTGAACTAATTCGCACACTGGTAGGAATGAGCCTAGGAGAGGGGTGTGAAGGAGCAGGACTTATGGTGGTGCTATTACTATTATCACTACAAAAAAATACAAATAAAACCAACAATAGAAATCTCGTAACATTAATAAACAAGTAAGAAGATTTCTCCATATGTCTGACATAATATTTATAGCAACAAGTTATCAAAGACTAATCTAAGCTAGAGGACCCCTCCCCCAAAAACAGAACCATTGTGGTTCATGACTATATGTATTATTATATGTAACCATGACTTTATGTATTATTATATGTAACCATGACTTTATGTATTATTAAATGTAACAATGTTTCATATGTAACCATGACTTTATGTATTATTGTATGTAACCATGACTTTATGTATTATTAAATGTAACAATGTTTCTTGAAACAAGACTTTAAGAGGAAATCGCCACGCATGGCAAGATAAGGAATGCGAACCCAGATTTTAGGTAGATTATCATCTATAGCTACAATACCCACTCACTCATTTTAAAATCTTTGAAGGAATTTTCAACACGGACACCATTTTATCAGTCTCTTGTCACAACCACAGAATAGAACAAGCGCCACTCGATGTCGGAACCTTTGAATTCGTGTTTTATGGATCTATTCTGTGTCACAACCATTATGTAGACATCCTGTGACAAAAAACAATGAATGCTCTTACGTCATGTAGCAACACATGACCGTATTGTTTATTATATGGAATAAAATAAAACAGACAAAAGGGCCGTTTTGGCTCCATAACCGTTTTTTTGCTCTTCAATTGGTGCCAAATTGGTTCGAGATCAACTTGATGACTGCATCGAATCGGGTGACTCAATCTTGTTGTTTTTTGTAGCTCAGCTTCCATACTGAATATTGCCCCTATACTGATTGTGAACAAACAAAAACACATTGTTAAATATGCTTCAATCATTATGGTTAACAAAAAGCCTATCTTTTGTTGAAAATACTTGAATAATCTCAAATTGCACAAGGAATGCATGAGGTTTGTTTCTTTCTTATTTACATTCATGTACCCAGCTATTTGTTGTTGCATAGTAACAAAAAACTTAAATGTAAAAATTTGCTAATGTGTAATACTGTATTATAACTAAAATGATCAGCAACAGAAGTGCATCAACCTGAATTGGTGTTACAGGTTAGCTGTCACTCTGAAGAAGAAAAATGAAACCAGCATATCATTATGTTGCAGATTTTAGATGAATGCACATGGTGCACACAATTTAACAATGATTTGGGTTTGTGGAAAAAATTGTTTACCTTAAATCACTTCCACATTAGCAAATTTTTACACTTAAGTTTTTTGTTACTATGCAACAACGAATAGAAAGTACATGAATGTAAATAAGAAAAGAAGCAAACTTCGTGCATTCCTTGTGCAATTTAAGATTATTCAAGTATTTTCAACAAAAAATAGGCTTTTGTTAACCAGAATGATTAAAGCATATATAACAATGTGTTTTTATTTGTTCAGAATCAGTATAGGAGCAAAATTCAGTATTGAAGCTGAGCTACAGAAAACAACAAGATTGAGTCACCCGATTCGATGCAGTCATCAAGTTGATCTCGAAGCAATTTGGCACCAATTGAAGAGCAAAAAAACCGTTATGGAGCCAAAACGGCCCTTTTGTCTGTTTTATTTTATTCCATATAATAAACAATACGGTCATGTGTTGCTACATGACGTAAGAGTATTCATTATTTTTTTGTCACAGGATGTCTATATAATGGTGTTGACACAGAATAGATCCATAAAACAGGTGACACGAATTTCAAAGGTTCCGACATCGAGTGGCGCTTCTGTTTTGTATCTATTCTGTCGTTGTGACAAGAGACTCTTCACTGGTATAAAATGGTGTCCGTGTGGTGAAATATTAATTGTTGAAAGATTCCTTCGCACAAATGGGTAACACAGGTGGGTAAGACTGTTAGCTATAGATGATAATCTACCTAAAATCTGGGCTCGCATTCCTTATCTTGCCATGCGTGGCGATTTCCTTTTAAAGTCTTATTTTAAGAAAATACAAAGACATCTTTCTCAACCGGTGAAATTTGTTACTATTTATGACACCAGAAAACTCTCCTATTTTGTCTCTAACAAGGACAAACTTCCTTCACTTTCTCGCAGTAATCTTGTACACGAAATAACTTTCCCTGGCTGTGGTAAAACCTACATCGGCATGAAAAAAAGATGCCTGTCTGTATGGCTCAGAGAACATGCAACCAGACTTATTTTTCTAGTGCAGTTGGCCAGCATTTCTCTGAGTGCGAAAAGCTCAATTCCTGGCGACTCTACAAAACCAGTTCTCACAACTCAATGATCTCCCTCCACCTCTCAGAACTCCCTCTCCTATAGAAAATATCGTATTCAACAACTATAAATACTTCACTCAACCAAATCTAACAACTACCACATTCTTGCTTTCCTTGAAGCACTTCTCATCAAACATAACAAACCTTTTCTCAACACGGGACTTAAGGCTAGAAAAGAATTACAACTGTTCTCTTAAATTATAATACACTCATTCTACTAGTCGGGTCGGAAGTTTCAATTCATCCTTTTGAAATACTACACCTCTTCCAACTCTGCCTTTGTAAATACCACACTATGAAATTTGGGCAGTCTGAGACGTTTATCGTTATCACTGCATAACACTGTATATCAGAAATGCGAAGATAACACGGAAATTATATGACTTTTTATAACAAAAGGAGGATTTTTTTCAACTTGTTCACGCTTTTTATTTTTGACAAACATGTTGAGTTTTATATAAGATAATTCCATGATTTCCATCAGAATATTTGTTATTGTTTCAGAATTTTTCGCAATTTCAATTTTCAAGCGACTACTTAAACTTATTGGGAGTTCTTTATTTGTTTTACGTCATACTACGGCAGTGAAATCGGGATTTCACATTTTATATTAAATTATTCATTTGCGGAAAGTATTGTTTCGTCCCAAATATCTCATAATAAAAATACTTTACTTTTTGTGAAAAAATTTACGACTTTCAGTATTCTTCCTTTTCATCTCGATCTAAATATTTCAGACTTGCTGTCTTAGTGAAAGTCATGAATGTTTCATGGCTGTTTTATGGAAATCCCGATATTGCACGAAATGCCTATATCAGCGTCATCAGATCGAAAGCTTTAGATTATAAATAAATCTAAAAAAGTAGCACAAGACTATACAATATTTTGCTGACTCTGTTCGACGTGCTATTCATAACACTCAGTACATGTTTCCTTACTTTATCTCGTGAAATTGCTTTTTGAATAGCAGCATACAGTTACTTTAATACACAATTTTTTATATTTGTAATACTTATACGTTTTTCAGCCAATATGATGCTACAGAGGCTGCAAGTTTTTTAAGTTATAAATTAGGATTAGTGTTAGGGTCAGGGTTAGGGTTAGGGTTAGGGTTAGGATTAGGTATCTATCTATCTATCTATCTATCTATCTATCTATCTATCTAATGTTTTACATTGCAAAACAATTTTTCCCAATACAACAACTATCAATACTATCATAAAGTTTCACTTTCGAACTGAGCACTAGCCAAAAGATAGTTTTTGCGTGTGCACAACAAAATTCGAAGAGAAAAATCGATACGTCTTTCACAAAATGAATTTTTTTAATTTTTTTAGTTCTCACTTCTTCACCAACACGGATTTGTGCATCTTATGCACAATATTAAATATATAAAAAATAACTGCCATGCAAACTTTACTGTTCACAGAACGCTTTCTTGTACTGTAGTAAGAAATGTGTAAATTCCTTGAGAGAAGTAACGATAATGCCTCGTGCTTCTTTCCCAGTTTCCAGTACTGCGAACTAAGAACGCTCTATTTATAGTTAAAATAGAGTAAACTTTGGCAGGTGGAGGAAAAGTTAAGTTGCAATTGACACGTGCGTGCCCAGGCCCCTCTCTGATAACACAACTGAAAGAATGAACAAAACAATCAATTAAAAGTTAACATTGGCTCTCTCATTTATCAAGTCATGCTTTCTCCTTGTCAGTCAAATCCTTCAAGATCATTTAAAATCCCAATGATCTGGTCAAAAACATAATTTAATCGTTCAACTACTGGCTTTAAAAATCAAAGTAATTATCACTATTTCAATTTGAAATGTGGAAGTCAGTTGCACGACTGATAGTAATTCTTATTAGTTTAGCAACGTAGCCAACAAGCAAGCTGGGTAGTGTTACGTAAATATTCACTGTAAAAATGAATTGATTTCTAATGAAATGAATAATGCGAATGCATGATGTCATAATTACACAGCACGACCAAATAGCGCTTTACCTAGTCCACCGTCACTATTTACCTTCATGAAGAATTTGCAAACTTAATGACATCACTCGGTATTAAACAGGAAAATATTTAGGAAAAAGACACCACGGAAGTAGAGTGACTTGGGAATAAGATGACGGATTTTGATATAATAAAACATGCAACGATTTGCAATGACGATAAAAAGCGTCTTTGTAGCTGTGGACACTGGTAATGAAAGGACAGTAGAATTTGCCTTGATCAAGATGAAGGTTTGCAAAAAGAAATCAAAGATGTGGATGGCTATTTTAAAAAAATGGTCTTTGATCAAAATGGCGACGAATTCTTTCGAAATTTTTGTGATTCCATGAGAACGTAGCTACCTGCAACATTTATCTTCCTTAAAATAAATGAAATAGTCATTATTGCTTCCATAACTTGCTGGAGCACTTTATAGTAAAACCAATTTTTTTACATTTTTTACAATGTTTTCTGTTTGATGAACTGTCAAATGCTGCGCTTTTTTCATTCCTTTATTTTCCAAGTTTTTTTGTTCTATCAGTTATGGATGGTTTCCTTGATATTGCCATGCATACGGCAACGTGGGAGAGAAGTATTGAGAAAATAAGTCATAATCAATCAACATCATACTTTAAAGTTTTCATTTATATCCGACATAACACTGTACCAAAACTCCTTACCAGCTATTTATAAAGAATACGTCGTTCAGTACGACACAAGACAATTTACATGTTTGTAGATTTAGACCGTCCCGGTCAATATAGAGTCCTGAGAAGAACTGTTTTCGTTGATGTTGGCTAACATTTCGACAACCAATCGTTAACTTTGAATATGACTACCGCTAAGGTTGTCGAAACGTCAGTTAACAACAACAAAAACAGTCCATCTTAGGTCTACACTAACCTGGACGGTCTAAATCTACAAAAATGTAACGATACTCCCCTGTTCAAGCCATTTACTTTACTACAAAACACAATTTATAGATTGTATTCGGTTAAGTGGGACGAACCTCATCATCTTGCAAAATAGTTGGCATTATTATTTGTTTCTTACTTACATGTTTTCTACTCTTTCTTATGCTTTCATAACTTAATGAAAACAGTAAATTTGAAAAATTAGTTAAAAACAACTGAAATGTAAATGTTTATTACAATAGCATGACATTTTGTTTCAGTTTCATGGTTTGTTAACGCTTCGTCCTTTTGAAAAGAATTCTTTTATTTCTGTCAGCAATGTCTAACAGATCATGGAAGTGGACTAAGCTGGACCTCACACAAGACACAGTCAACGAACCCAAGGATTTAGCATTGACACCCCTGTTATCTATCGAAGCAGAGAGCGAAACAAATATAGTAGAACGAGATGACAATAAGATGAAGGATATTAACCGAATGAAATTTGCAGTATTTAACGATGATGAGAAAATGATCAACGATATCTTGAGGGAGAAAACAAGTGAACGAGAAAGTTAGTATGCCTTTAATAAGATGTAAATAATGTTTCTTTCCAGTTTGATAATTAAAAAAATGTTCATTTTCAGTTCAAAACTTACTTGCCGAACTTGATGAAAAAGGACGACCATGCATATTTTATGCCGTGGAGTTCCGAAGTCTTCGTGCGCTTACTTGTTTGTTAAATCAAGTGAAAGATACGAAGTGTGTGACAGCTAAGAATGGAGAAACTGTACTTCATGTAGCCACGGAAATGAATGACGCTGGTAAGCACGTAACGGTCAATGACCAAGAACCGAATCTACTAAATTCCTACCCTCTCAAATCTTCTATAGTTACGATTGAGGAAAGCCGCCATATTGAAAGGTAGAAAAATCGACAATATTAATTTACCTCTAAATTCTGCTTTTTTTGGGTTGATATAGAGTTGCAAGGTTGGTGCTCTATGTTTGGTTTGTAAAATGTTTGATAGGATTGAGTTTGAAATTTTCTTTTAACTTTTTTTTGTTAAAGTTTACTTTTCACAACCTTTCAAAATGGCGGTCCTTTCCTTACCTTGAACAGTGAACTCCATCCTTATATATATATATAAGTAGTAATGTACAAAGTGTATAACAATGTGCCCTCCCGGCTGTCACCATATTAAAATGGTGACTCCTGCACTTGGGACACAGGACGTACGGTAACACATCCTATGGATTGTTTTATTCAGTCACTAGAGTGCTCAAACCTATAAAGGTGAGCTTTGCATATCGCGAACACGGTGAACGTCTCCATATGAGACTCTCTACACAATCCTAGAGTGCTCAAACTACGCACGCGCAGTGAGCCTAGTATATATATATATATATATGGAATGATAACGACAATACATTTTATATATATAAAATTGAAGCCTAAGTCCTAGTCTCTTGCATGGTTTGTACGTCAGTTCCAGTCCTTCAAAGTCGAATATTCACGCAGTTTGTACGTCAGTTTCATTCCCTGAGTGACAAACATACACGGCCAATATAAATTTGAATACAAATTTGCTAAAGCATAAACATATAAACAACATCACGACAAACAACACACGAGGCTAACTCTTCGCAAAAGGTTATTTTTTACAGCTGAAACTTTACTACAGTGAGTTCGTTCTAACTTACGAGTTGGAACGAGGAAAAGCCAACTGAAAAATACACTGTATGCTAAAAATACAATACAATAAAAAATATGACGAGAAAATATTCAAGCATAAATTTTTCTTACATCGAAAGGTAAATTTTCAAACGATGTCAGACAGTGTTTGTCTTTTTTGTCATTTCAGTGGATTTAAAGATCTGTTTTTCCGAAGAAAAAAGAAACTTGAATATCCAGTTTCATAAAAAATATTGAGTCTATAACTTGCATTTTTACTTTTTACAGAGCGATTGTCATTTTCATCGATTTTGATAGTGCTTGAAATACTAAATAGTTGTCATCTCGATATCAATAATTAAATATCCTTAAAGACTTTGATATGTCTTAAAGGAAAACCTCAGCTTAAGAGCAGATCGACTGTGTATGACAAAAATATATAGTAGCTATATTAAAGATGTTTTCATTCTATATGTAAATTTTGTCGAATAAAAATTCATACCAACAAATCCTTTTAGTTTATTTGAAAAACGTAATAATACTTTTGCACTGAGGATGATGTAGAATTGAAATAAATATAATTCAAAAAATTTTCTTCGTGAAGATAAAACTGACTAGTAAAATGAAATCAACTGAGGTCAAACTAAAGATCTAGGATGCGAAAAAATACAAATTGTTTATAAACACGCGAGAAACACGAGTGATGACAAATGATGACGACAAATATTTTTTTGGCTTCAATTTTTGGCTTCAGTTATGATTCCAGCTATTTAAATATTCAGTTTACTGACCTTGACACCGCAGTTAGTAGAAATCTAAGGAAGATGTAAATCATTGGTAGGGATGCTGTAGATCTAACTTTGGCTCAGCTGTATGAAGTTTACTTTCATTGCTTTAGCCTGTGGGAGTTCACTTTACTTTGAACAGAACAATACCCAGTTCTGAAAGGCTAAAGAAGTAGATTTTAATAATATTGCATCAATTTCTGATGTAGGTATTCTTAAAAAATTGTTGGATCATGATTTCGTTGTTCATCTTGTGAACGATGTTGAAAGCAAGAATAGCCGCTCGCCACTTTTCTTTGCTGCCATGTACAACTTTGTCGACGTCGCCAAGGTGTTGCTGGAACATGGTGGAAATATGACAAAAGTTGATGGCTCAAACAGATCACCATTGTATATCGCTGCAGAAAAAGGACGAGCTGGCTTGCTCGATCTATTCTTAAAGCATGGTAAAATGTTTTTGTTTTGTTGTACATTGCTCATGTCATGCATAAATGCTTATAGACTATGGCCACCAAAAACTTAAAAAAGAATGAATTGTGCTCTTTTTATATCCCAAACGGACACAACTTATGTTAGTTTTTAATTTAGGTGTATGATAAAGACTGTTATTACTATTCATATTCTGTTGTTCATTCATCACGATATACGCGAACACGCAGTATCTTAGTTTATATTTTAGAAAGTGTAAAGACTGTTTGCTGTTTATTTTCTTTAATGTTATAAATGGTCTTTTCCATAGAAAAAAGTAGAGTGAAAGAGTTATTGTTCAGCAAGGAGCATGGCGGGAAACATCACCAAAATATACTTCATGTAGTTGTGGACAGCGGAGATGAAAGTACTGTAGAAGTTTGTCTGCAACAAGATGAAGATATGATACGTTCCTGTTTGCAAGAAGAAATGAATAGTGGTGGTAGTTATTTGGTTGACGCTGTCCGTAAAAACGGCTTGGAGGAAATATTGTCAAGGTTTATTGATACGTTGGGAGATTCACTTGTACAGCAAAACAAGATAAGAGAAGAACCGGTGGGAGATTCACTTGTACAGCATGCCGCGATAATAGAAGAACCGCAAGAAGCTTTACCTGTACAGCATGCCATGATAATAGAAGAACCGGTGGAAGCTTTACCTGTACTTGTACAGCATGCCACGATACTAGAAGAACCGTTGGAAGCTTTACCTGTACAGCATGCCGCGATAATAGAAGAACCAGTGGAAGCTTTACTTGTACAGCATGCCGCGATAATAGAAGAACCGGTGGAAGCTTTACTTGTACAGCATGCTGCGATAATAGAAGAACCGGTGGAAGCTTTACCTGTACAGCATGCCGCGATAATAGAAGAACCGGTGGAAGCTTTACTTGTAAAGCATGCCACGTTAATAGAAGAATCGGTTGAAGCTTTACTTGTACAGCATGCCGCGATAATAGAAGAATCGGAGGAAGCTTTACCTGTGCAGCATGCCGCGATAATAGAAGAACCGGTGAGACATTCACTTGTACCGCTTGACGAGAAAAGAAAAGAATTGGTGAGAGATTCACTTGTACAGCATGACGAGAAAATAGAAGAACTGAGGGGAGATACAAAAAGCAAGAGACGCAACATAAGAGAAGAATCGAATTTCAATCATTTATCGTAAGTTATTTTTACTTTCATGTTAAATTATTTCACAATTTCATGCCTTCATGAAGAATGTTTTAAACGCACACAAGTCCATTACATCAGTATTATTTACTTTAAAATGGCCTTGTGATATTATTTGATCTATCACCAGCCTAACCTATTTATTTGCATTTACCTTCATTTTACAACAGTGATGAAATCCCGCACAACGGCCAAGCGTCGCCTACGTGTCCGCGCGATCGTTATGCAGGTTTCTCTCATCGAGCCTTGCTCCTTGCAGTAGAAGGTGGTCATGTTGAAGACGTGAAAGAATTTCTAAAAGAAAATCGTTTCGTTAAAAGAGATAAAAATGGCACAGTTCTTCATTATGCAGTAGCTCATCCTGAACTACTGAAGATTTTGCTGAAGGTATAATTTTTTCGGATTTTATGTTGGGGGTAAATAGAAAAGCTGGAATTTTAATTACTTCTTAGGAAAGTGACATTGTTTCATTGATAAATGAAGAAAGAACAGACGATGGTTATGCTCCAATTCATGCCGCAGCTAAAGAAGGCCGAGTCGAGGTATTTGAGCTCGTTTCCTTTGAAGTTAACTTGTTAGCAACGTTAGGTTTAAGTAAACAACGTTTTTTTAGAGTGTGAAAATTTTGATTGACAACCGTGCTCATCTGAACGTCCTCTCAGAAAACCAAAGTTCGCCATTACATTGCGCTGTTAGTTCTCAGAATCTTGGTGTGATTAAATTATTACTTGACAATTGTAGAGAGTTAATTGTCAAGGTTAATGACAACAATGAAACTCCGCTTCATACAGCTGCATACTATAGTAGCTCACGGGTCGTTGAATATCTTCTGAAATACGAAATATTTATGACGAGGTAAATTTTCTATCTGTTGTGTTTCTAAGAAGCTAAATCCACGTGAGAACACAAATTAACGCAGGCCGCAGCGTTGATGGAGTTGAGACGTTAATTTAAGCCAATATTTTTTTGGTTCTTTTTATATAGCGACATCGACTATCCCACTCCACTTCATATTGCAGCGTGTCATGGACATCTCGAAACTGTTAAATTGCTGCTAAAACACAAACCTTCCTTGATCAACCACAAAGACAAAGATGGAGAGACACCACTGTTTAAAGCTTGCTCGAATGGCAAGACAGATGTAGTGAAATTTTTACTCGATAATAAAGCAGACATTAGTAATGGAAATAAAGTTACAAGCAAGGATTACGTTTCTTATTTTGACGCAATGATTAGTAATGGAAATAAAGATACAGCTATGGCGATGATGTGCCATGAAAGATGGAAAGAGGTTTTTATTCATTTTTTTTCATATTGAACTGTCGATTAAAAAGCACTTTTCCGAAACGGTTGAAACTTTCTTCCTTACACCGTGAAAAATGATTGGTTAAAATAGCCATATGATTGGTTATAGTGACCATAAAAATATTAGTTAAAGTGGTTAAATGCATTTGAGGTAACCAATTTTAATGGTTATTTTAAGCAATCAGTTTTTACAGTGTATTAAACATTTAAGTTAATAAATTTCATTTTTGTTTGAATAAGTCACCCTATCATATCATTTAAGAAATAAGAATTTGTTGGAAACTGTGTTTCTTCTTTAGATAATGGAAACAACAAAGCATGGTCCTGAAGCAACGATGAAAAAGTTGATTTCCCAAGGTATGTCCGAAGTGGCATATCAAGCACTCGTTAACAGCGAGACGCACACAGGTGATCCAGAAAGCAAGAATTACGAAATTAAATACGACTTTATGTGTTTACAGAAAAATAATGCTAGAGCAAATGGTATGATACAGCAAATATGTCATAATTTATTGTATGTCATGGACATTGAAAAATCATTTAGGCATTTTTTGTTTTCTCTGATAGGAAATGTGAAGCCGCTGACTGCCATCGAAGCGATGGTAAAAAGTGGCAGCTACAAATGCTTACAGCATCCTGTCTGCTGTAAATATCTGAAAGAAAAATGGAAGGCATTTGGATTCAAAGTTTATTTGGTTGGATTTTTAATTTATGTCGTGTTTCTGGTTTCTCTAAACGTTTATGCGTTCAAAATTCCTTCATACGAAGAGTCAATTAATAATCAAGGTCAGAAAGACTTACTTAAGGCTGATTATTTATATGATCCCGGGTAGTCAGGATTCAGACAAGCGTTAAATGATTCTGACAAATGGAAACGAATCAATAGTTATCATCAAATAAATCTTCTTTTGCATTTTCAAAATATTCTGATTTATTAACTACGCAAAACCTTTAAAATGAACACAACCATTTTGGCATAGTTTGAGAATTACAAAAGGAATGTGGTGCTTAATGAAAATTATAATTTTTGAGCTTGAAGATGTACCTCCTTTGAATGACTCAAAATCATTTCACGCCTCACTGTATCTCGGTTAGCCAGGATCATGTAAACAGTCCTTAGTTTGGCTATGTATAAGCCGAAATGTGATGTACCCCTTTAATACTAAGAAACTGCTTTGGTCTGGCATATTAACCGATTCGGTAGATTTCAAGAGTTATAACCAAGAACACAATTTAGTTAACCAACTTTGCGACCAAAAAATATAAGTATTATAAATTATTAGTCGAAATTTTGACCATATATGTGATTTTACAAAATTTTCAGTTGTTTAACAAATTGTGTCATTTTTATACATCCTAAAGAATTACCAGATGCATCAATAACTGTTATGATAGCGATGAGTATCTGTCTTGTTTCTGCCGGCTTTCAGACAATGAAAGAAATTTGTCAGGTGTGTATTTTTTTCTAACACTATGTTTTTTTCTGTTTCAAATTTATTATATCATTTCATTTCATTTACATCATAACACATTGATATATGAGAAAGAAAGTATCGTAATTGTATACATGCCAAAAATCTGGCTGCATATTGAAATCGTGTTCTTGCTGTTTAGTTGGTGCTTAACAGGGAGAGTTATTTACGCGACCCAGTCAACTATTTGGAATGGACTCTCTTCATATCAACATTCATCTTTACTGCACCGATTAACGACAATATCTCTGTAAAGACAAGTTTACAATGGAAAGCCTGTTCTGTGGCGTTGTTCTGTGCTTGGATGAATCTTATTATGTATTTCAGAAGATTTGCCTACTACGGTATTGTTATACAAATGATGAGGAAAATTTTCGTCACATTGATCAAGGTTCGTCTACATGGTAAATAATTTTGCAAAAAGAAACATGTGTGGCAGACGTTGGCTGTGCAAAATAACATCCGCAAAGAATTAAATCGTGTAACCGTCATTCACATTAGCGTTTTTCCATAATCATTACTGTCATTTATCCATCAGGAGCCGGTTGCACAAAGCCTGCATAGCGTTATCCATTGGATATCACGTTTTTTCAAACTTTTATAAAACCTTTTCCCGAGTTCAAAACCGAGCTCAAATCTCGTCCAAGTCACATGTTTTTCATGTGCATATTAAAATCGTGTTAGGATTAATATATTATAAAACCTTTTAAATAGCAAAAAGTATAAGATTTAAACTGAACAATCACTGAAAAAAAATATTGTTTTGAAGATTACGAAATTTCTTTGTCGTAAGAAAAATATAAGCACCTTTTTTACAAGTTTGAAAATTTTTGCTATCCATTGGATAACGCTATCCAGGCTTCGTGCAACCGGGCCCTGGTGTCTATCATTTAGCTCATGTTAAAGAACATATTTCGAACACGAAACAAGGCAATGTTCAAGAACGTTCTAAGAAATAATATCTAAGACGCTCAATTTAATTGAATATTTAATCAAAGTTTTCTCAGACTTAAGGCCGTTCACCCGATTTTATCGGATCTTAAAAAACGGATCGTGAGAACACATATAAAGCGAGCCTCCGACAGTCGGATCTGTCCGTCTAAAAATCGGATGGAAATAGAACTTGCTCTATTTTCATCCAACAAGATCAAAGAAAGCCGACTAGTCCCGGACCTTTCACTCTCCATACTTTGCAAATTTCACTTGGCGCAAAACATTAGGTTTGAAAAAGGCTTGGAAACAAGAATAAAAATACGAAAAATATATCGATAAATGTACTGAATACCACAAATGTCTGCTCCCAAGACTATAAATATCTAAGCGAATATAAATATCGGCAAAATTATTGGACCGTTTTAAAAAGCAACCAAAAGTCGGAACCGAAACAATCGGATATCAATATCCGACAAATCGGATCGTGTGAACGGGACTTAAAATAATTCCTCATATTTTTGTTTAGGTTTTGAGTCTGTTATTATTTTTCTTCGTCGCGTTTGCAGCAGCTTTTACAGTGATACTGAATGACAGAGAGGGATTCGGGAATTTTCGAACCTCGATGTTAACTACAGCGATCATGACGATCGGAGAAATTGATTTTAAGGAGACATTTCTTCGTCACCATTATTACAACATGTTTTACCCAACACAGATAGTTCTTTTTGTCGTTTTCGTCGTCGTCATGCCTGTCGTTATTATGAACCTCATTCTCGCCCTTGCCATTGAGGATGTATCTAAGATTAAAAAGGACGCCAAATTGCGGAAACATATTCATACGGTAAGAAAAATGGCAAAACGATCGAATTAGTGAAGTATCATTTTTTAATATAATCTAAGATAAAATTAGAATTTACACTATAAAATTACGAAGTAGATTAAAAGTTATAAATTCCTTGTAACGTGCAACTGAATTCTTTATTTCCGTCTTATCAACCAATTAATAGGCGAACATGATCATCAACCTTGAAAGAAAGAAGTTCATATTTTCTTATTTCACGAAAAAAGAAAAGCCACTTAAAAGTCCTTTGGTGGAATTGCCCAACAAAGAAGGTGGATTATCTAATTTTGTTGATGGAATTATATTTTATGATTTTTCCTCCGATAAAGAAGACGTGAGCTCGGAGCAAGTCGAAAAAAATGAAGATCTAGTGACGTTGATTAAAATGATTAAAGAATTACAAATTCAGAATGCTAAAGTGTTGAAAAAGTCAAAAAAAAATTCTAGACTGATCAAGAATATTTCGCGAATTGAAGAAAAGAAAAATGACTCTGCTCAGTCTTAAGGTAAACTTAGTTCTCTCTAAATTTATACTTGTGTAATTTCCTGTAGACATTGTTATCTTAGATTAGACCAATTAAATTCATACATATTTATGTTTCACGTAAACATTGTCAGGAGATTTTTTGTCTGTTATTGATTCATCATCACCGACAAACGTTACTTAGTTTATAATGTCGTGTCGGTGGTGTACATTGAGTGTATAAAAAAACTGAACAGTTACGAAAACGTCGCTGTAGTTTTCAGCGTGCAAGATCTTCATAAACATTTGGTGGAATAAGAAGTTTGACTTCTAATGGTTAATCTCACACTGTAGAATAGCATAAGAATTGTGTAACCGAGAAACACTTTTTAAATAGCTTGCACAAGAACACGATAAAGCCAAAAAGCAATTCGGAAAGGGAATTTTTTTTCAATCGCGCGTACACATTGCAAAGTTTGAATGATTTTTCCTCTTTCATTCAACTTTTTTTTCTGTTCATTCAACTTCCGAATGAAACGAAATTTTTTAATTGTTGAATCTTTTCAATCATGATCAGTAATTGTTGATAATGAATAACTAAAATTATTTTAGTGTTAGTCCCTAGGTCTTATTTTTACACAATACTAGTCTATAAAACATACGTACGTTTATGTTTGTGCTCAAATTATGGCACTTATATTGTACTCTATTTAAGAAATAAAAGATGTTTATTGTGCTTGCACGGGCTTATGCAAATCGAGGAGACTTTGGGAGAACACGAGAGCAGATCAGTGCAAGCCTAGACCGAAGGTCGAGGGTTGCACCTGCTCTGGAGTTCTCACAAACGTCTCCAAGGTTTGCATAAATCAGTGAGAACAGGAAAAACATCTTTTATTTCTTTTACGAAAAGGACGAACATTTTAATTTTTCATCTAAAATGTATTCATGATCGATTTGCGAATTTTCTTTGAATGATTGATTGTTTTGATTGATTTGATTGGTTGAGCTCAGATGTGTTTTTCATAGGCTAATGTAAACACAGCTCTAGAACAATCAGCGCACGCGTTTCATTGTGTTTATTTTATAATTAGACTTGCTCATTTGATTCGTGCCTTAGAGCACAGACAGAGCACTTGTTCTTTGTTTTAATATTCAAAAATATTGCTTTCTTTTACTATTGATGATCTATTTTTACCTTGAATCATTAAAAACAGAGAAAGAAATTTGGAAGAAATTTCCCAATTTCTTGACACGAATTTTTCGCAAAAAGGGGAAATATGGCTTTATTGAATGAAAATACAAAATTTTAAGTGGAAACACCTGCTCAGATATACTTTTTTCAAATGGTAAAACTTCAGCAAAGGCTCCTTCTCGTGGTTCATTCATTGAAGGAATATATATCCATGAAGAGCTCCATCCAATTCCAAAACACTCCATTGATTTAAGAGATTCATCTTTATCATTTACACCTCCCATGACAACAATTGTATCATCTTTTATAACTGCACAACATCCCCATCTCTTTTGCAACATGGATGGCAAGACTTTGCTCTTTCCTGTTTTGCTGTCATACATGATAGCACTGTTCAATATTTCTTTTCCATCATAACCCTCAAGAAGAAAAACTTGATCTCTCCATCCGACCGTTGCCATTCCAAACAATGGATGAGATAATTCATACAATTCTTTACATGTTAGAGAAGTTGGGTCAAACTCCAAAACACTGAACAAAACTTTGTTGTCTTTTCCACCACCTCCAAAAATAAGAACTTTATCATCAACAACCTCGGCTCCTTGGCTTGACCGTGGTTCAGGCATGTGACACAGCTCTTTCAAAACATGAGATGTTACACCAGTAATCTGTATTTCACATATCGAATCTGATAACTTTCTTCTACAGCCAATACGTCCTCCAATCTGAAGTACTTGTTGTTCATAAACAACAACTTGATGACCAAAATACTGATTTCCAGGAAATGTCTTCCATGTCAAAGGTAACTGATCAAGACTTTATTGCTCAATTGACTTGCAGCGAAATCCTCCAACAACAAATAAATTCTCATTATAAATAAATGATGAAGCATACTTGTGTTCATTTTCCATTGATGCAATATTAAACCATTTCTCCTCCTTCCATGAAAATATTTCAACACGCTTTGAGGAACCATCTGGGTGACCTCCACCAACCAAAATATCGTATCTCATAGAGATTTTCTTTTCTTTACTTGATGATGTCAATGTTTGAATATTTTCTTCATTTATATTTATCTTTTCCAACATTTGAAACATCATGGCTTTCATTTTTTCCATTTCTTTGGTCACTTTAGAAAGATTTTGCTGAAGATCTTTCATTTCTACTCTTGATTTTATCATTTCTTTAGTCACTTTAGAAAGATTTTGTTGAACGTCTTTTATTTCTTTCCTTGATTCCATCATTTCTTTGGTCACTGTAGAAAGATTTTGTTGAACGTCTTTTATTTCTTTCCTTGATTCCATCATTTCTTTGGTCACTGTAGAAAAATTTTGTTGAACATCTCTTATTTCTTTCTTTGATTCCATCATTTCTTTAGTCACTGTGGAAAGATTTTGTTGAACATCTTTTACTTCTTTCCTTGATTCCATCATTTTTTTCTGTGTATTTTTGCAAAGCGCCACCGTCTCTTTTATTGATTCGTTCATTTCAATTAATTTTTCATCCATATCTTGACTTAGTTTTTCTTTCATTACCCTCATCTGCATTTTCATTTGGTCATCATGATTTCTAAAGCTTCGTTGAAACATTTCTCTAATCTCTTCAAAGTAGTGAAAAGGAATCTTTCTGTACTCACACAACTCAGTTTCATGTTTAATCTTGTCTCGTTTGTTTATTTCCAGACCACAACGTTAATTAGAACACAACACTGGAGCAAAGCCACAATTTTTAACATGTCTTTCAAGATCTTCAAGCTTAATATATTCAGGACAACCACGATTTGCGTAGTCGCAGTTGATCTTTAACTTTGAAATCACGTTATTTATAACACGCGCTGGATGAAGTCTAGCTACAGTCAAATTATCTTGACATTGAGGACATCTTTGTGCATTAACTCGTAGATGTTCCTCAATGCAATAACGACAAAAGATGTGTTCGTTATGTTGACACATTCTTGCTTCTTTAACGACATGTAGACAAATTGAACAGTGAAAATTTTCATCAACAGCAGTCTGAAATCTCGATTGTTCGTATCCACTTTCGTAATCATTTGGGCGGGAAGCCATTTCATAGGTCTTCCTATATAATTTAGCATCAAAGATAGTCCAAGAATTGACGAATTTCTTTGTTTATCGCTACAAGTTGAAGAAAGAAAATACGTTGAAATTGGCAGGCAACCTTTGACAAACGCGGAGTTTAAAAGTGAAGAATAACAATGCATAGTTTTAAATTTTAACATATTTATGTCAAGCAAAGCAAAGACAATTAAAAAAATTAAACGAAATAACGCAATGAAGCAGATCTACAAAAGACATAAACAATTTTAAGTATGTGTATGCATATTGATGTGAGTGGGAGAGCTGTTTGAAGTTAATAAAAATAGTGAAGTTTTAGTCAAGTACATGACGTAATGGAGTTGTGAACAATTTCATATAAAATATCAAAAAGTTGAATAATATGTAAGTTGATGAATTAGTTTGCTGGTAGTTGATTTCAGTTATTGGATTAACTTTTGTGAATGGTCGAGAGGTTTTGCCAGGTTCTTCCAGCTCTAATATGAAAGACATAAAGTTCCCAAACCAATGAGGAGGGTCCTTAGATCCAGAGGCAGTTGATATCCGATTTAATATTACCAGAAAAATAACATTTTTTTCAAATATTTCTGAACATTTTGTGTCCATAAGTACGAACAAACATCTAGCTGCAGTTATACAAGGAAAATTTATTATTCGCATGAGATCAAAGACATAAACTAAAGACAATGAAAAAACTTTGGCAAACGTATCTAGAACGTTAATTGAGGGGGTGTATATTCATATATTCAGTTGTGCGCTACTGATTTCTTTTGAAATTCAAATCACTTTCAAAAGAAATCAATATGGCACAACGGAATATATGAATATAAACCACCACCCCCCAATTTAAGTTCTAGTTACGCCTCTATTTGTATACTGGTTTTCACGACAGTCTTTTGAGAAAAGGAAGTAACAATTTATATTCGTTGTCATCGAGATATTCAGAAGAATGTAAAAATGTCACTATACCTAAAATGCTGAAAATTGCTTTTCTGTCAGCACACAATCAGCTAAGCCTTTTGAATTTTCCGACAAAGAAAGGCAATTATGCATATTTTAATGTTCAATTATGTTCAATTATGCATATTTTAATAAGTTCTTAATTAGTTATAATGTTCAGATCATTTGTTGAATATTTTCTTATTCAGACATGCTTTTGTCAAAAGAGTAAAACTTCAGCAATGGCTCCCTCTCGTGGTTGACTCATTGAAGGAAGATATGTCCATGAAGAACTACTTCCCATTTCGAAACACTCCACTGATTTAAGATATTCATAATTCAAACCTCCCATGACAACAATTGTATCACCAGTTATAGCTGCACAACACCCACGTCTCTTTCCCAACATGGATGGTAAGACTGTAATCTTACCTGTATTACTGTCATACATGATAACACTGTTAAATTTTTCTCTTCCATCAGAACCTCCAAGAAGAACAACTTTATCTCTCCATTAAACTGTAGCCATTCCAGTCCATGGATGAGGTAATGGAGGCATTTCCTTAAATGTAAGAGTCCTTGGATCGAACTCTAAAACCCTTGACAAAACTTTGCCATCCTTTCCCTTCATTCCGAATATAAAAACTTTATCATCAACAACAACAGCTCCATGGTCATACCGTGGTTCAGGCATACGACACAACTTTTTCAAAACATAAGATGCTGTAACAGTAATCTGTATTTCACTGATCAAATCTGATGCTCCCCAATCAATGTGTCCTCCAATGAGAAGGTTTTGTTGTTTATAAACAACAGTTTGATGACCAAAACATTCATAAGGAAGCTTTGTGAAAAATATCTTCCATGTCGAAGGTAACTTTTTTATATTCAATGTCTCCATTGACTTGCAGTCAATTCCTCCAACAACAAACAAACTATCCTTATGAATAAATGATGAAGCACTGTTGTGCTTATTTTCCATTGATGCAATCTTAAACCATTTTCTATCCTTCCATGAAAATATTCCAGCTCTCTTGAAGGAACCATGTGGATAACCACCAGCAATCAAAATATCTTCTTTTCCTGAGTTCATCATTCCCTCAATTGATGATGGCAATGTTTTGACATGTTCATTTTCAGTCTTCTTTCGCAATATTTGACGCATAATGACTTTCATTTCTTTCATTTCTTTAGTCACTGTAGAAAGATTTTGTTGAACAATTTTTATTTCTTTCCTTGATTCCATCATTTCTTTGGCCACTGTAGAAAGATTTTGTTGAACGTCTTTTATTTCTTTCCTTGATTCCATCATTTCTTTGGTCACTGTAGAAAGATTTTGTTGAACATCCTTTATTTCTTTCCTTGATTCCATCATTTCTTTGGTCACTGTAGAATGATTTTGTTGAACATCTTTTATTTCTTTCCTTAATTCCATCATTTCTTTGGTAACTGTGGAAAGATTTTGTTGAATTTTTCTTAATTCTCCTTTCGATTCTATTATTTCTTTCTGTGATTTTGAGTTTTGGCACGTAAATGACTCCATTTTTCCATTTATTTTATCAATTGGCATTTTCACTTGATCCCCAAAACTTTGTTGAAACATTTCTTTTGTCTCCGCAAAATCGTGAGAAGGAATCTTTCTGTATTCACATAACTCAGTTTCATGTTTAATCTTGTGTCGTTTGTTTATCTCCTTGTCACAACGTTCATTGGAACACAACACTGGAGCAAAACCACAATTTTCAACATGTCGTTCAAGATCTTCAACGTTGATAAATTCTGGACAACCACGATTAGCGTAGTCGCAGCTTATCTTGAACTTTGAAATCAAGTTGTTTACAAAACGCGCTGGAAGAAGTGTAGCTACAGTCAAATTATCTTGACATTGAGGACATCTTTGTGCATTAACTTGTAGATGTTCTTTAATACAGGAACAACAAAAACTTTGTTGATTATGGCACATTCTGGCGTCTTTCATGACATTAAAACATATTGGACAATAAAAGTTATCGTTGACAGGGCTTTCAAATCTTGATTCATCATATCCATATGAATCGTCATCATTAGGGCGACAAGCCATTTTATACGTTGTTGCATATAATTCAGTGTCAAAATCAATCCACAGACACGAAATTATTGGTTTACAAGAAGATAAGTTGAAATTTTCTGTCGACGTGGCATAAACACGGAAGTTAAAAGGAAAGAATCACAACGCCCAGGTTTATATTTTAACATATTTATGTTAAGCAAAATAACGAAATGAAGCAGATCTACAAAAGACATAAACAATTTGGTAAGTGAAGTGAGTGAATTCAAGCAAATGAAGTTTTAGTCAACAACATGACGTTGGATGGAGTTGTGAACTGTTTTATAAAAGATATATGGAAAATTTGAATAATTGTTTCAGAAAAAATGAGGAAGGTCCTTTTTTACAGAACAGGAAGAAAAGATCTTAGGCTGCAATGTCACTGAGTAAAATAGAGAATTATCCCTTAGAATAGGTAAAAGACAGTAAATGCTGCCTTTTTGAGGGAGCAGTAAGTGTTATTTGCTTGAGAAAGAAGCTATATGTTAAAAGTTTTACAAACAGAAACGGTATTCTCACTACTCACTTTTACTTTTAGACCACTCAACTTCATTTGACTCTGAAGATGACTACCGCTAAGGTTGTCGAAATGTCAGTCAACAACAACAAAAACAGTCCTTCTCAGGACTATACCAACCTGGACGATCTACATATACAAACATGTAACGATACTCCCGGGCTCAAACCAATGATTCAAACCATTTACTTTAGAAACGGTATTGTCGTTGCCATGACACTAAAAACTAACGAGAATAGATTTCAATATCAGTATCCCATGATTATTTGTTTAATATGCCCTGCGACTGTTGACGCAAAACTCTACACACATGGGTGTAAAAAGTCCTCAATCTCTCTCATGTGATCCACACTTCTGTGAACAGAACTGAGAACGATACGTTTGTCGTCCAGTTATATGATATCACATAAGACATACTCAAAACAAACTGTTACTTTCACCCTGAATGTACATATCTTCCAGCATTTTAGATTGTTGTGTTTTATGTACAGACTAACTTTTCCAACATTTGAAACAGCATGGCTTTCATTTCTTTCATTTCTTTGGTCACTGTAGAAAGATTTAAATCCTTGAGATTATCGCTTTGGATTATAGGTTAACTTATCTCCATATATCCGTAATTTTCTTAAATATGGCGGCTGGAGGGATGAGATTGCAGTTTTGGAAACCAGGTAAGAAACTACTTAAGTTCCTCGTAAGAACTAATTCTGACAGTCTCGAGGTTTTCCTTACTTCACTAAAAACCTCCTTGCTTTCTTTTATGAATTTTAGGGACAGAAGCGCCTTCCATCCAACATGAAAGGACTGATAAAGATGGCGAGGAAGCTGGAGTAGTTGCCTTTCCCAGTGATGTTGTGTCATCGTCTATCGCGAGATTGCGTCAACGATTGCCTGTGTTTAAGGTAGGTATAGAGGGCATGCATTTAACTTCATCCAACATCCTAAGTTTATTAAAATAGTAAAATATCTTCAATTCAGGTCAGCAATTGGATTGTTGTGCTCTGAAGTCTTTTATAGTATGGCTGTAATTGTTTGCAAGTTAACACATGCATCAAGGAACTTAAATCTTCTTGCCCCTACCCCCTTAGGTTATTTACCTGGTTAGTTGCAACAGTTACTATCAATGTAGATGTAGACTAACTGTGCAGACATTGATGTGAAATGTTGAATGTTCTTATAGACAAAATTCTTGACCTTTTGCAACTGGTACACTATATAAGTAAAACAAGACATTATTACCAAATGTGTTGGCTGGCTATGATAGTGAATCAGTGCAGTTCAATGATTTCCCTCCTGTTTCATATGGTAACTTTAAAGTGAAATCATTCATATATTTTTTAGCATCGTACAAACATTTTATATCTTGTTGAAAAATACCAGACAGTCATAATTGTTGGTGAAACTGGTTGTGGTAAATCAACACAGGTTTGTTTCTTTTCTATTTGTTAGATTGACACATTCAATAAACTCCATTTTCATTGAAGTTTCTCACCACTAACCAAAGTTAATTGATTTTCTTTTCCTTTTAGATCCCTCAGGTAAGCACTGTAACAAATGATGACAAACTAATGATATGAATATGGTGATGTACATGGTTGCACTTGGCTATCCATTGTTACCCATGGCCATTCATTGCTTTTCATGTTTATCATTTTTATCAATTTCTGTTCACTATTATTCATTGCTATGCATTTTTATCCATTGCTATCCATTATTATCCATTGTTATCCATTATTATCCATTGCTGTCCATTGCTATCCATTGTTATCTATTTTTATCTGTTGCTATCCAAACTTCACAAGATCTTAGAAAATGGTCAATAATGTACTTTTGAAACATAGCTATTAGTTTGAATTTGTAAATTACAAAAACATTGTGTTTTTAAGAAGTCATTAATGTCGAAATGTTTTTCCATAATCTTACAGTATTTATTTGAAAGTGGTCTTGCTTCACATGGCAAAGTTATTGGTGTAACTCAACCAAGAAGAGTTGCTGCAACATCAGTAAGTAAAAAATAGAAATTACCGTCTAACATTAGTCCATGATCTGATAAAAACATTTATGACTTATTGACTAAACAAAGAAAAACAATGTGTTTTGTTTAATCAAGAACTTGGCTTTTGCCCAAAGCAAAGTCCAGGGTAAGAAAAACACATTGCTTTCATGAGTTCTCAGCCAAAAAGTTTTTTATGATTTGGTGATTGTCAAAGACAAATTTGAAAACAACTTCAATAAACATAATACCTACTGATACTTTTGTAAAAGAATATGTAAGTAAAATTGTTAAAAAAAATACTTTGGAAAAATTCGTGTCAGATTTTCGGCAACTTCAAAAAATGCCATAAATTACGTTTTATCTTTGTTATGATTGGTTGGAACTTTGACAAATGCCATATATTACATTTTATCTTTGTTATGATTGGTTGGAACTTTGATAAATGCCATAAATTACATTTTATCTTTGTTATGATTGGTTGGAACTTTGAGAAAGCAGCTCTTTTCTGGTAGAATTTCTTTTACTTACAGGATCCATATCATTTTTTTTTGTTGTTGTAATTATCAGGTTGCTATGCGTGTTGCTGAAGAAAAAGGAACCATGATTGGTCAAGAAGTTGGTTATCACATACGATTTGATGACTGTACTGACCCACAGAAAACTGCCATCAAAGTAAGGAAATTTATTGTAAATAGTGCTGTGTTTTTTCTTAATTTATGTTGATATTCAGTACCTCTACTTCCCTTTCTATGCATGGAACCAACCACTTTTTAAAACCTTAACCCTCATTCCATGTAAAATCAACACCTTTGCCTATGCCTCTTATTCCATTCTTCCTATTCCTCCAACCGCCATGCTTCCTCTTTTTTCAACCTTAATTTTTTCTTCTTATACCGCCAACCCCCCTTTCTCCCTATTATTTATCCATCCTCTGCTCTTCCTATTCCTCCAACCGTCTTTCTTCCTTTTTGTCCAACCCCCTTTCTTCCTATTCTTCCAACCCCCTATCTCACTATTTATCAAACCTCTGCTCTTCCTATTCCTCCAACCGCCTTTCTTCCTATTTTTCCAACCCCCCCTTTCTTCCTATTCTTCAAACCCTCTATCTCACTATCTATCCAACTCCGCTCTTTCTATTCCACAACCATCTTCCCTTCCAATCCAAGAACCCTCTTTCTTCTTATTTCTACAACCTTCCTCTACATGTGCTTCAAACCTCACCACCATCCTATGTCCTCAACATCCCCTTTCTCTATATCCATGCCAGTCCTATGTCCTCAACATCCCTCTCTCTATATCCATGCCAGTCCTATGTCCTCAACATCCCTCTCTCTATATCCATGCCAGTGTAAGTAAATTCAACATGCTTTAATCTAAAGACGTTAAAATTTTATTTTGTAACAGATGGAATGTTAATCCGTGAAATGATGGCGGATCCTTTACTAACGAAGTACACTGTAATAATGTTAGATGAAGTACATGAGAGGACATTATACACTGACGTCATTTTGGGTTTGCTCAAAAAGGTTTGCTAAAATATTTTTTTGTGAAACTCGGGCCCAGGTTCATTAGATTGTTATGCACTATTGTTCGTCTATTGCGTAGCTGTGTAATTGTAAGAAGGTTTGAATACTGCTTTTTGTTAAAAAGTTTCGTTGTTTTTCGCTTTTAGTTTTTGTCCTTTTTTGTAAAACATCATGAAGATTTATGCTTTTCACATAAAATCGATAAACTAGTCTTTTATGGTTTTCAACTGTTGCTAAACTAAAACTTCATTATCTGTTGGTTAGCAAATGGAATAAAACGTTAACTCAAACTTATCAAAGTTTCATTTTCACAAAGAATTAAAATCGCCTTTTAAACACGCTTGAGAAAGTCACTATCGATCCAATGGAGAGTGCAGGCTTTGTAACTTTCCCGTCTGATGTAAAATTTTGCTTTTGTGTTGGTTTTTTCAAAACTTTTTACTTCTTGCGTCTATAGATACAAAAGAAACGAAAAGATCTTAAACTCATCGTGACATCAGCAACAATGGATGCAGAGGTTAAAAATTATTTTTCTCAAGTTTTATACGTTGTTATCCAATCATGAGCCTTGTAGTAAATCTTTGATAATGACGTCTTACTATTGCTAAACTCTGTAGATGTTCAGAGACTTTTTTAACACAAACATATCCAAGGATAAAAGGTTTGTTCTGTAATAACGATGATAAAGTGTTTTGCTTGATGTGAATTTCTGAGTTTTTCATTGGCTGATTTTTTTAGCAAAGATACGGCTGCAATTCTGTCTGTCGAAGGACGAACATTCCCCACTGAAATCTACTATGTCTTAAGGTAAAAGGAAATTTTTTTTGAAAACTGCCACTCAATACTAACTTGCATAGCACAATTTTTGTTACCTGAAATATTGTTTATCAAGAGAGAGATGTATACCATAGTTAAATGTTGTTATAAAGAGAGAGATGTATACCATAGTGAAATGTTGCTTATGAAGGGAGAGATGTGTATCATTGTGAAATGTTGTTTATGAAAAGAGAGATGTATACTATAGTTAAATGTTGTTTATAAAGAGAGAGATGAATACCATAGTTAAATGTTGTTTATGAAAAGAGAGATTTATACCATAGTTAAATGTTGTTTATGAAGAGAGAGATGTATACCATAGTTAAATGTTGCTTGTGAAGGAGAGATGTACACCATAGTTAAATGTTGCTTATGAAGAGAGAGATGTACACCATAGTTAAATGTTGCTTATGAAAAGAGAGATGTACACCATAGTTAAATGTTGCTTATGAAGAGAGAGATGTATACCATAGTGAAATGTTTATGAAGAGAGAGATGTATACCATAGTTTAATGTTGTTTATTAGGAGAAAGATGATTGTCAAATAATTCAGGAAGGATTACATAGAAGTACAACTACAATCTTAAAACATCTCTTAAAGAAACCATGTCATTATCTTTTACATGTTTGTAAATGTAGATCGTCCAGGTTAGTATAGTCCTGAGAAGGACTGTTTTTGTTGTTGTTGACTGACGTTTCTTTAACCTTAGCGGTAGTCATCTTCAGAGTCATCTTCATATTTTGCTTCTTTTTTTTGACTCTGAAGATGACTACCGCTAAGGTGGTTGAAACGTCAGTCAACAACAACAAAAACAGTCCTTCTCAGGACTATACAACCCTGGAGGATCTACATCTACAAACATGTAACGATACTCCCGGATTCAAACCATTTACGTCATTATCTTTTATCAGTCCAGTTGCTGACTACATAAAGGCCAGTGTCGATGCCGTCATAGGAATACATTTGGAACAAGAACCAGGAGATGTTTTAGTGTTTTTAACCGGTCAAGTAAGAATATATATTTTTGCTATTCGTGTACCATAAGACAGGAGAAGTTGAGAGAAAGATGCCTCAATTATTTGTGCAAGGGAAGATAGTGTTACAAGCGGTTTATGAATGTATAAATTTTCACACATGTAATTAAATAGTTTGAAATCAATCAGACGAAGCAATAAGTTTTCCTACAAACATACAAAATGTTTGTAATGCTTTACACTTTATGTAGGACGAAGTTGAAAGCGCTGTGTCCATGATCATGTGAGTTGGTTAAAGTCATCCAATTTTTGCAATGACAAAGTCAGCTCGAATTTTAGTCCAGCGAAGTTGAGAAAAACTATAATTAATTTCTTTACTAAAAGTGAAAGTCACATTTTTATTGGTTTTGCATAGTAAGTTTAGAATTATTTTGCGACCCTGAATTTTGTCAAAATTTTGTGTCATAATGCTTCCATTTCAATAAAGAGAAAGTCCGTGTACTTCAATTGTTCTTTTATTTCAGTCAAAAAGCAAGGACATTACCAAAAGGTCATGGATTTCTCAAAGTGCTGCCTATTTACAGTGGTTTATCTCACGCTGAACAGGTTTTTGATGTTTGAGTCATATGCTACAACAGGTTTTTGATGAACAGGTTTATCTCATGCTGAACAGGTTTTTGATGCTTGAGTTATATGCTAGAACACGTTTTTGATGAACAGGTTTATCTCATGCCGAACAGGTTTTTGATGCTAGAGTCATATGCTAGAACAGGTTTTTGATGAACAGGTTTTTGATGAACAGGTTTATCTCATGCTGAACAGGTTTTTGATGCTTGAGTTATATGCTAGAACAGGTTTTTGATGAACAGGTTTATCTCATGCTGAACAGGTTTTTGATGCTAGAGTCATATGCTAGAACAGGTTTATCTCATGCTGAACAGGTTTTTGATGCTAGAGCCATATGCTAGGACAGGTTTTTGATGTACAGGTTTATCTCATGCTGAACAGGTTTTTGATGCTAGAGTCATATGCTAGAACAGGTTACTGATGAACAGGTTTTTGATGAACAGGTTTATCTCATGCTGAACAGGTTTTTGATGCTAGAGTCATATGCTAGAACAGGTTTTTGATGAACAGATTTATCTCATGTTGAACAGGTTTTTGATGCTAGAGTCATATGCTAGAACAGGTTTATCTCATGCTGAGCAGGTTTTTGATGCTAGAGCCAGCTGTCGTTCAATAAAACTTGTATAGAGACCTTTGTTAAGCAGTGAAGGGGGGGAGCTGATAAAGTTGAGATGTATTACGATGGAAAGGGGGGGGACTTTGAGTGAGGGAGTTAAATTCTGTTGTGAGAGGTTCTTTTCTTTTATAAGATTGTTTCAATACTACAGGTTATGCTAATGATGATCGTCTGTAAAGTGAACTGACTGTGATATTTATATTTGTTACAGATGCGTATATTTGAACGTTCAAAACCAAAAGAACGCAAGGTAGGAATTTCTAACAGAAAAATAAAGACTTTGTCGTGATGACAAATCTAAAGATTGTTTTAAAAATAGCAAGGTAGGAATTTCTAACAGAAAAATAAAGACTTTGTCGTGATGACAAATCTAAAGATTGTTTTAAAAATAGCAAGCAGTTGCCATGGTGGATGGTCAATTGTACAAAAGCTCTTTTTAGAACCCTTCACATATCTTTTGTTTGTTTTCACGAACTTCTTCTACATATTCGCTTTCGTTTTGTTATAAAACATTCAAGCGATCTTCTTCATTGTTTATCGAGCAAAACATTAAAATAATTTGAAAATTCTTTAAATTGAAGGCTGTTGTTGCAACAAATATCGCCGAGACGTCGTTAACTATCGATGGAATTGTTTACGGTAAAGATTTTTGACTGATGGTTGCCCTCATCTTCTCCATCAATATTTAAAATTTTTGTTTATAGTTGTCGACTGTGGTTTTGTCAAGATAAAAACATACTCAGTAGATACAGGACTCGGTAATTATATTTATCGGTTAATTTCTTCTAGGCTTCAACAGATATGCGATCACATATGAATTGTTTTGATCGATATTATTGATTCTGTAGAATCCCTCGTCGTTGTACCAGTATCGCAAGCATCCGCTGACCAGAGGGCCGGCAGAGCGGGGCGCGTGCGATCAGGTATGTAAACAACTTCAATCTTTAAAGAACTATCGATGTTGCCCAGGAAATCTTAAGATAAACAAATTTTCCTGTCCTGCATGAACCTGTGTGGAGAGAGCTGTTTCCTGCCTGTCTTCCAGGTCCTCTACCCCCCAGTATTGTACTCTTAACGAATGGTCCTCTATCCCACGGTATTGTACTCTTAACGAAAAGTCCTCTACCCCCGGTATTGTACTCTTAACAAATGGTCCTCTACCCCCCGGTATTGTACTCTTAAAAAGGTCTTTTACCCCCCGGTATTATTCTCTTAACAATAGGTCCTCTACCCCCGGTATTGTACTCTTAACAAAAGGTCTTTTACACCCCGGTATTGTACTCTTAACAATAGGTCTTCTACCCCCGGTATTGTACTCTTAACAAAGGTCATTTACCCCGGTATTGTACTCTTAACAATAGGTCCTCTACCCCCGGTATTGTACTCTTAACAAAAGGTCCTCTACCCCGGTATTGTACTCTTAACAAAGGTCTTTTACACCCCGGTATTGTACTCTTAACAATAGGTCCTCTACCCCGGTATTGTACTCTTAACAAAAGGTCATTTACACCCCGGTATTGTACTCTTAACAATAGGTCCTCTACCCCCGGTATTGTACTCTTAACAAAAAGTCCTCTACCCCCCGGTATTGTACTCTTAACAAAAGGTCATTTACCCGCACAACTTTTCTTGTTTTTATATTTTTTTAATCTCCGACGATTGTATTTCTTACAGGAAAAGCATACAGATTATACACAGGTAACTTCCATCTTTCTTTCCCACGAAATCTATCATTCATCAATTATGAGAAAATCTTTATTTTATTCAGAAGACGCATTTCACAATCTCTCTCCAGCTGGTGTTCCTGAGATGCAAAGGTGACTGACCGTCCTTACATTTTGTAAATGTTTATTACGTAAAGGTGATGTTTGTTTTTTCATGATGTGGATGAAGAGTTTAAATGTTTTTTATTTGTTATCAGGACTAATTTAGCTCCAGTGATACTGCAGCTGAAATCCATGGGAATCGACAATGTTTTGAGATTCGATTTTTTAGCGGTAAGAATTATATTTTAACGAAATTTGATCTTCCTACTTTCTGATATAAAAATTCTCTCGCATATTTATAATGTAACATAGGAACACACTTCTCCATGACTGACTACACTATAAAGTAATTGGTTTGAACCCGGGAGTTTCGTTACATGTTTGAAGATGTAGATCATCCAGGTTAGTAGAGTCCTGAGAAGGACAATTTTTGACTGACGTTTCAACAACCTTAGCGGTAGTCATCCTCTTTCGACTTTGAAGATGACTACCGCTAAGGTTGTCGAAACGTCAGTCAACAACAACATCAACAGTCCTTCTCGGGACTCAAATAACCTGGACGATCTACATCTACAAACATGTGACTACACTACAGTGTACACCTCTCTATGACTGACTACTAAGTTAATATGAACAGTATTTGTATTGCTTTTACTTTAGAGGCCTCCAGCCGAGCATATGATAAGAGCACTGGAACTGCTTTATGCTCTAGAAGGTATGAATATGGAAAGACAGAAATGATTATGGAAACATTGCGACTGTGACACAGACTGTTGGGTATTTTTATAGGGTATATGTGAATAAGAAAGGATATATGTGAATAAGAAAGGATATATGTAAGTAAGAAAGGATATATGTGAATAAGAAAGGATATATGTAAGTAAGAAAGGATATATGTGAATAAGAAAGGATATATGAATAAGAAAGGATATGTGAATAAGAAAGGATATATGTAAGTAAGAAAGGATATATGTGAATATGAAAGGATATATGGGAATAAGAAAGGATTTATGTGAATAAGAAAGGATATATGTGAATAAGAAAGGATATATGTGAATAAAAGACCATGACGTGGTATATTTTTATGTTTTTAGCTTTAGACGATGACGGTTGTCTTACAACGCCACTCGGGGTAAACATGGCCGAGTTTCCTCTCGAACCAAATCTGGCAAAAATGCTCTTGGTTTCAGGTAAAATGATGATGTTTTATGTATTTCTCAGTAGAATTTACTTTGAGTGATGTCGTTCTTGAGTGTATTAGCTACCGCTCTTACTAAGATTAAATCTGAGAACATGTTTTGAAATTTTCCAGGCGAGTTTGGTTGCTCTGAAGAAATACTGACAATAGCCACGATGCTTCAAATAAAAAATGTCTTTGTGACACCGTCCAACGAAAAGAGAGCATCGGTATGGCCTGTTTTTAAAACGATAAGCTTTTTTGTCGAACAAGTTTTATTGGTTTAAAGTACATTGAAAAATGAACATTGATTTTGGATGATTTAATTTAGGCACGAGCGAAGCTGAAGTTCTCTGTGTACGAAGGCGATCATTTATCTTTACTGAATGTGTACCAAAGCTTTCTACAGGTATTTTTGTCCATGACAATGTAAGATGTCATTATACATATGGGTATGAACACCATCACGGTTTTTTTGACAGCACAAGAAAAACTCAAAATGGTGTCATGAAAATTTTCTTAACTATAAAGGTGTGTGGAGGCAATAAAGAAGTATGAGTTTTGTTGCTTGGCAACATTAGTCGGAAGTCAGTCAACAGCAAGTAGATGTTAAAGCACTTTCTCGCTTTGTGCAGGCTTCCATTAAACATAAATCCCAATTTCTTTCTTGGTCAATTAATATTTCGTATGGAAATTGGTACCCGTTGGCATCCTTTATGGTTAAGTGGTAAAGGCTACTAGGGGTCCCCTCCCTTGGTAAATCCGTTACCGAATAACTTTGGTTTTTAAATGTGTTGCTTGAATCTTTCTAAAGGTCTTTGTCACGCTATCAAGATTCGAGAACAACTCAAGCGTCTTATAAAGTCATTTGGTGTGGCCTTGAGGTCTGTTGAAGGTAAACGAGTCTTTAACCAGTGAAATTTTGTGAACTTCTGTGAACTCCAGCATGTTCTTTCTCTGCTTGTACAGACGACCCAACTCCCATTTTACGTTGCATTGTCAAGGGATTTTTCGCTAATGCAGCCAGACTCCACGCCGACGGCACTTACAGGTGACAAAATGACGTAAAACATGTTTAGTTAGGATTACTTTCGGATTTAAGATTTAAGATTTGACTCGGTTTTGTTTCACGAGTATCAGAGAACATGTTTAGTTAGGATTACTTTCGGATTTAGGATTTAAGATTTGACTCGGTTTTGTTTCAGGAGTATCAGAGAACATATTTAGTTAGGATTACTTTCGGATTTAGGATTTAAGATTTGACTCGGTTTTCTTTCAGGAGTATCAGAGAACATATTTAGTTAGGATTACTTTCGGATTTAGGATTTAAGATTTGACTCGGTTTTGTTTCAGGAGTATCAGAGAACATGTTTAGTTAGGATTACTTTCGGATTTAGGATTTAAGATTTGACTCGTTTTTGTTTTAGGAGTGTCAGAGAAAATCACCCACTTTACATTCATCCAACGTCTGTGTTGTATACAGAGAAACCACTTCAATGGTAAAAATATAAGCTTTAAAAAATATTTTTTTCCACCAAAGCCAAGAAAACGCGATGCATTGAATATTCATGGGAGTTTCTCTTTCTATAATAACACATATGTGCAATGAAATCCACCTTTCCGACGGTAGACACACGTGTCAAAAATACGAGATCAAATTACAAAATTCGGACAATCAAATGGTCGGACACAGTATTGTTTATGTAGAATAGTGTTGATAAAATGGTAAGGAGAGGCTTTTGAATTTTGGGGTTTTTGTGAATATGATTCTAGTTATTCGTTCTGTATTTCTAAATTAAGATTTAAAAATGCCCCAAGAACATCTTCTTTCGTTTTTAGCCACTATTTTACATATACACTATTTTATATATATGTCCGACCATTTGGTTGTCCGACATTTGTAATTTGATTTCGTATTTTTGACACGTGTGTCTACGGTCGGAAAGGTGGATTTATACACATCAAAATAGAGTCAGGTGCATGTAAAAAATTTTCTCGATCTTTTCTTTTTTTGTTTTTTTCTTTATGTACAGGATCGTATATCACGAGTTGCAACAAACATCGAAGGAATTTATGCGAGATATAACTGTGGTATGATACAGTTCTAAATTACATGTTTGTACATGAAGATCGTTGATATTGACTTACGTTTCAACAAGCTCAGCTGTGCGTCTACGGTACGTTTGCTCCTCATTTGACTCTGAAGACGACTACCGCTAAGGTTATCGAAACGTCAGTCAACATAAACACAAATAGTCTTTCTCATGACTATACTAACCTGGACGATCTACATCTACAAACATGTAACGATACTCCCGGGTTCAAACCATTTACTTTAGAGTACTAAATTATTCCTCATTGAAAAGCGAGTACGTTATTCGACGGTTGTTTATAATCAGCAGTTTTCATAATCTGTAGCGTTTTATATCGACCGCATGTTTCAATTCAAAAGCCCCCCAGTTGAACGTGGGTGCGAGCAAAAATTGAGCGGCACAACGAGTAAGACCTGGGGACGAGTTTTCTCTGCAAAGCCAAGATATCGTGTCCCACTGGATAGTTACTTTTAATTGTCGGTGAATGCAGTTTCTTTAGGATGAAATAAACTTTGTTATCTTTTTTTTTCTTCTGGGAGGAGAGGGTGATCTGGCTCTTTTGTAACCCGACTCAGCTGTGACTTATTCATTATTTTTATTTAATAACAGTTCGTGTTTTCCTTCGGAATAACGTCTCAATTAGGTCATTTAAAAATAGTTTTGCTTGTACGTTCAAACAGCTGTAGATATCTGCTCTTCATTCGTAAAACAACTCCATGAGAGCCGTGCTAGTTTGAAGACTGGGTTTGAGCCATTGAGTAAACATGACAGGATCCTTCGTTTTTTCTTTTCTAGATCCAGTCCTCTTGGCTGTATGAACTTGCTCCTCATTATTATGAATACGGCACTGTAAGACGCTTTGTAGTCTATAGAAGGAAATGAGCACTAGTTTAATATAAATGATATTTCATTGTAGGCTCGAGAATTAGCAGCAAAAAGAGCCAAACATGAATAGAGATGACAGTGGTTCTGCTGATGAAGGATGCTTATGGATATTTATGGATGAGGTTTGAATTCACAATAAAACATAAGGAGGAGCAGAGGGATGATGATGATTCCTATTGAAGAGTAAAGCATTGTTTGAAAAGTACTAATGTCTTTCATCCAAAAACTCTTCCTTATAATTCTATATAATGTGACTGTTTGCCAAACAAGTCTCCATTTTTTGACGTACCATGTCTTTTCCCAAGCTCAACCTGGCCTTTGTTGTCCACATTTCTTCCCAAGAATTGTGTTCACTGTGCTTACGAGAAGAATTTTTTAAATACCTTCTCTGGAACATGAACCGTTGTTTTAAAACTGTCACTTTGAATTAACAATGATCCAGTCTTTCATGGTCCAGAAACATTGACACTTCTTTAAGTCTCCCTAAAGTGGATAAATTGTATTTTTACATACTGTCTTACATCATGTGCAGTTCTGGGATGAACTTAGTAAAATGTATGATACGACTGTGGGATACAGTGACTTAATCTGTGCATCTATGTATGTCATAAAATAAATAGTAACAATTGTGAAATCTACATATTTATGTAATAGCAAATGTTTTGGATACTTTGGATTCAATCTATTTTACCACTAATTTGAGTGAGCATGGAATTGTCTTTCCATTTTTTTGCCAACGTCTTGAAATACAATTTGTCATCATATCGTATGTTAGTAACTAAATCCTTCATTTGTTCATATCTATGAATTGAATCATTAAGGAACACGGAAGTTTGCCAACAGTTTTCCTACGTGGAAAATATTGTTTATTATACGATCTTGTCAGAATAAATATACTTTCTGTTGCAATGAATTCAAATGTACAGAGAAAGATTCAAGAATATTGGAATGGATTCAAGGATACAGGAATAAGTTCAAGAACACTGAAATGGATTCTAGGATACACAAATGGATTCAGGAACACTGAAATGGATTCTAGGATACACAAATAGATTAAAGAACACTGAAATGGATTCTAGGATACACAAATAGATTCAAGAACACTGAAATGGATTCTAGGATACACAATTGGATTCAAGAACACTGAAATGGATTCTAGGATACACAAATAGATTCAAGAACACTGGAATGGATTCAAAATTATCTGGATTATCTAAATAAATCATGTTCTGTCTTGTAGATTTAAATCCTCGGGATTATCGAAATGGATTATCACTGTGGATTATCGATTATCTATTATTTTCATATGGCAGCTGGAGGAATGAGATTGCAGTTATTGAAACCAGGCGAGAAACTATTTAGATTCTCGGAAAAAAACTATTTTGATGGTCTTAAAGCTTGTCTGTCTTCATAGAAAGCCTCTTCACTTTCTTTTTATGAATTTTAGGGACAGAAGCACCTTCCACTCAACATGAAAGGACTGACAAAGATCGCGAAGGAGCTGGAATTTAGGAGTTGTTGCCTTTCACAGTGATGTTGTATCATCCAGTCAAGATTGCTTGCAATTACTGTGTCTTACAAAGCAGCTCGTTTTTGAGATTTATTTTTAGAACATAAATTGTAAATGAAATATGCACAGCTTAAAGAAATACGTTATAAAAGAAATATGCATATGGCGTCTTAATTGTCCACTAATGGTCTTTATATGGAAATTACGTGCATTTATGCACGCGATCAAAAAAACACATCACATTTTGATAGAAAAAACTTTTAGGATTAGGTGAAGACATGGCACTGTGTGATCATTTTTATTGAGGCCTTTAATCCAATGTCGTACACGACTAGAGAAATTTAATATAAGTCGACATTAAAACTTCCTGTTTAAATACCCCACAGGTGTGATTTGGTTAAATGTATTTTTCTCTGTTTATTATTTTACAATATAAAAGATAAGTAAGTACCTAAACACTAAGTAAAATTTCAACCTTTTTTCAACGGTTTTTATCGAATCCAAAACAATAAACTAGTGCACCCAGGAGGAAGAAAACAACAAGATGCGCTTGTACAAACACATCTTATACACAGTAAAAAGAAAAGAGCTATTTTAGCCCCAAAATGGGACCAAAATATTGACCCCAGGACGGCCCCATAATTTAGAGCCAATTTTGGCCCTATTCATTTTGCCAATTTAACCCCCCAAAACGTAGCTGAAACAGCCCCATGTAAGAGGACCAATTTAGCCTTATAGCGAGCCATTTTGCCCCTTTCAAGAACACTGAAATGGATTCTAGGATACACAAATAGATTCAGGAACACTGAAATGGATTCTAGGATACACAAATAGATTCAAGAACACTGAAATGGATTCTAGGATACACAAATAGATTCAAGAACACTGAAATGGATTCTAGGATACACAATTGGATTCCGCAATTGGACTCAGCTCTAGACAGAATTGCCAATTTAGCCCCATTATCTCATCAAATCGGCCATTGCTCAAAAGCAGCCTAGTGCCCAGGAAAGAAGTGAAACTAGCTAAAGTTTGCAATAAACAAGTCTCGTATAATATACACATGCACATAAATGTTTAACATCTTCAGTAAAACACCTTACACCAATAAACTTCACAAAATATGGAATTGAAATAAAACATGCTCGAATATAGCATGCGTGCCGGCTGGTGCATGCATCATTAGTTGGAGACATTTGATAAAACTCCAACCAAACTTTTGACAGAAGATGGGCACTTCTCTGGGATAATTTCCAATAATGCCATGTCAAGAAAGCTATAGACATTCTTGCCCTCAATGTATTTTATATTGTACATATAATATGTGGCCAAAAAAGCAACCAGAGCAACGCCAATCTTTTTGGTTGTTACATTGCACAAAACTATTCCTTCTGCCACCACATATAAAGTGTCATTTTGATAAAGGTCATCCCCTACCAAATTACAAGGTTGAATTTGTGTTCTTATCCTTTCATCAAGGAAAGCGCCATTCTACGATAAAAAGACAGCAGAAAATTTAGAAAATTAGCTTGAGACTGCACAATAATGTCTCAAGTGTCTACTTTCATTAAGGTTCACAAGTTACTTTTTGTTATGTGAGAAGCAAAAATGAAGTAGTATGGTAATACTCATTTTATAGTAAAGATTTAATGCCAGTCTTACCTTAACAACTTTGATAACAGCTTATTTAACATGAGGCGTCCCCTCTACTGTTTGGCTGCTTGAAGACAATTTGAGCGATTTTGATAGCTGCTCTACCAGCACATTCGCCTAAAAAATAGCACACACTACTACACAAATGTTGATCGAGAAACAACTGCTGATCCTTCTTAGTTTTATTTTCTTCAAGAGAATTTCTGATGTGCACGAAGTTGATTATCAGCTGAAATACCTTCTTCAAGGATATCACTGTCAATAGCATTGTGCATTTTGTTCAAGTCTTCTGAATGCATACCACCATTTTCTTCAGCATATGCCAACAGCCTGTGACGCCAGACTTTGTTGAAGTTTTCCTTTACCTGTGTAGCTACGTCTTTATTCCCCATAACTTTTGCAAATTCAGCGTTGATCTGTAGCAATACAATATAACAGCAGTTACCTATAAGCTTGCTAAACTTATGTACGTATTTTATGGGATAAGAATACTACTAGCTACTAACGCATAGCAGATTTTCTAAAGGAGGAAAATTTCAACAACTTCCACTATTCTTCTGACGTCTTCCAGGACAAGTGATCTCCTTGGAACATAGCATACAGCCATCAACTCCTGAATTTTTTCATGATCCTTTTTAGCTGACTGCCACTCTTTTTTATTTTTGATACCACTGCTGTAAGATCTTCACTTTCGCACGGCTCGGGAACGTTCGTCCAACAATGACTGTTCCTTTTCTTTGTTTTTTTGCCTTTAGTTTGCGAGACGTTGGTAACAGGCGTGTTAGATCTCTTTCTTTGCAATTTTTTGAATCGGTTATAGATTTTCATCTCAATAGATCCCTATAAAAGAAAGCTTTCATTTAAAAGTAGTAAAAGACAAGTAAATTTATTTTTTATCATTTAGAAAATACAGACACAAGCAGCCCATTACAACAAAAATGCATATAACATGGTCATAATGTAAATTTGCATCACATAGTTTGGAGTGGGGGATGGGATGAGAAGATGTGTACACTTGTCATCAAAATACTAAAGCCTAATTAACATATATTTGTATATAATTGTAGTAATTCTATCTGCGTTGAAGGCTCATATCAATTATAAGTGTATGAGAACGCGCGTAGTAATCGTAAGTAAGTTAATCGCAAAAAATGTGGAGTTCAGTCAAATCAAAAGAAATTGTGATTAGAAATAAATGGAGGATGCCACTATAATTGGTAAAATATACGAACGTAATAAATATGTAACAGAATTTAACAAAAAAGTCTGACATCCTTTGGCAACAAATACGTACTCACAGAAATCACATCCACTCTAGACAAGTAGTGACCTAAACCACACCCATGTTATTCCCAAACACACACCCCTAACAAAAAAATCGTGCATACACATCCCTGATTTAGATTTTTGTGTTAGTTAGTCACCCAGTTAGTGATTTTAGCAGGCATGATTATTAGAAATTGAGATGTGACGTCATTAAATGTATTTTTCATGCCTGTTAGCAAAAAGAACGTGTGGTTTCTTTAAAAAGAGATTTATAGAGGCAAGTTAAAACTTTGTAACTGCCCAAAATGCTTTACGAAGTACAAAATTTTAACTTGTCTGGATAAATCGTTTTAGAGAAATCATACATTCTTATTTTTGCTAACAGTAAAATACAATTAACGACATCACACATGTCAGTTATAAAAAATTCCTATTGCTTACAAGGAGCTAACATTCATGTGATCAACATTCATTATTATTTCACACATATGTACAATGAAACAAAACAAAACAATAATTGAACAAAATGTCATATTATAAACACTTTTAAGTATCATTTACCCGTGGCTTTGCGTTTGCATCTAATAGTGGATCCTTCAGGAATGGATATGATTCAACAATCATAAGTGCAAGCTTTACACTTTCTGTTTTACTGGGATTTGTAAATCTCAGCACAATTGTGCAGACACCTCAAATGAGCTCGTTAATTATATTTGGGTGTAAATACTCTGTTTTCAGCCCAGCTTCAACAGCATAAGAATAGAAAAACACAAAAATACTTGTTGTGACCTGTCTTCCCCCTCCCAAAAAATGGTTAGAGGCTATTTTAGGGGCAAGATAATGTCATAAAATTAGAAATACAATTGTGCTTTTGAAATTTGTAAAATGGCTAAAGAAATGGCCGTTGAGAGACTAACTCTAAAACAAAAGCTGATCATTCATCAGCTCACCTCTAAAAGGACTTAAACCTTAAGGACTTTTGTAAGCCTTCAACTTTAACCACCCACTTAAGCATAATATTCTTACTATTCTGTATAATAAATGAGCTGCTGTTAGTGTATTGTACTTACACGATTTGGAATTTTGTAGTTCCGTAACCAATCCTTAATCAAGTAAAATATTACTAAATTGCAAATTAGATTTTTAGAAGTACTTCAATTTCCAATTATTGAACAAATGACAATAAACTTGGATACTTTTGGGGTACTGGTATTTGCATTAAGAGCATTTGGCACTAAAAATTGCAAATGAGCTATTAATGAATGTTCACAACAAGTTTAAGTAGGAATGAGCTTAGGAGAGTGGTGTGAAGGAGCAGGACTTGTGGTGGTGCTGTTACTATTATCACTACAAAAAAATACAAATAAAACCAACAATAGAAATCTTATAATATTAATAAGGGGTAATAAGACTTCCACAAATGTCAGACATAATATGTATAAAGTAAAAGGTTTGAACCCGGGAGTGTTGTTACATGTTTGTAAATGTAGATCGTCCAGGTTGGTATAGTCCTGAGAAGGACTGTTTTTGTTGTTGTTGACTGACGTTTCGACAACCTTAGCGGTAGTCATCTTCAGAGTCAAGAAAATGTATAGCAACAAGTTATCAAAGTCTAATCTAAACTAGAGGACCCCACCCCGATTCGATGCAATCAATAAGTTGCTCTTGAACCAATTTGGCAACAATTGTAGAGCAAAAACAACCGTCATGGAGCCAAATAATAGACTGAAATGGCTTAGCCATATAATGGACTGAAATGGCTACGTTAAGGAATTTTTCTAAAGAATTTTCAAGCACAGACTTAAGCTAAAATTTACTTGGTATTCGACAGATATTGCAATTTTAGTATTAAGAGTGCAATCTTAAAGCAAGAGTAAACGGTGCGAGCAAAGTTTAGCAACAATCACCAAGTACACCCCTTCAACGAACAGAAAACTGTGTTTACATTCAATGGTTACTGTGAACACACTGGAATGGCTATATGTATCATACTATATTTCTCTATGCAGTATGGTTACTGCAAGCATGCTGAATTGGTTTTATCTATGGTCAACTGTCTATTGTCATTGATAAAAAAAATTATTAAATGAAGTAGGACATTAATGTGTTAGTCACATTTACAAATGGATTATTTAATGATTGCAAATGTTTTTGTTCCTGGTATTATTGAAAAATTTAACAAATAGCGATTTAATATTTTTAATTTTAGTGCAAGTAAGCAGTAAACTAAACTGAATATTAATAAGTTTATGTATATTTAACATTCAATGTAATGAAAATGAATTTTACTCAAATGTCAAATATATTTATTAACCATTACTGCTTATACATACTTTTTTCCCAACGGTAAAACTTCAGCAATGGCTACACTTCGTTGTTTATTCATTAAGGGAAGATATTTCCATGAAGAGCTGCTTCCCATTTTAAAATACTCCACTGATTTAAGATCTTTATTTTTATTATTCATGCCTCCCATGACAACAATTGTATCACCAGTTATAACTGCACAACACCATCTTCTCTTTTCCAGCATGGATGGTAAGACTGTGTTCTCACCTGTCTTAATGTCATACATAATAACACTGTTCAATATTTCTATTCCATCATAACCTCCAAGAAGAACAACTTGATCTCTCCATTGAACTGTTGCCATATCAGTCAATGGATGAGGTAATGAGGGCATTTCCTTAAATGTACGAGTCCTTGGATCAAACTCCAAAACACTGTTAAGAAGATCATCCCGTTTTCGCTCTCCTCCGAAAATCAGAACTTTATCATCAACAACTTCAGCTGCATGGCAAAACCGTGGTTCAGGCATATGACACAACTCTTTCAAAACATAAGATGTTGAACCTGTAATCTGTACTTCACTGATCATATCTGATATTTCTTTACCTACAATAGATCCTCCAATGTGAAGAATTTGTTGTTTACATACAACAGTTTGATGACCATTACATTCATAAGGTAGCTCACCATGAAATGTCTTCCATGTCAATGGTAACTGATTAAGATTCAAAGTTTCAATCGATCTGCAACCTTTTCCTCCGAAAACGAATATGTTATCATTATATATAAATGATGAAGCTTGGCTATGTATCTTTTCTAGTGATGCTATCTCAAACCATTTCTTCTCCTTCCATGAAAATATTTCAACACTTTTTGAGGAACCATATGGGTAGCCTCCAGCAATTAAAATATCATTTCTTACTGAGTTCATCACTAATTCAGTTGGTGATGTCAATGTTTGAATATGTTGTACATTTGTATTCATCTTTTCCAACATTTGAAACATCATGGCCTTCATTTCCATCATTTCTTTAGTGACTGTAGAAAGACTTTGCTGAACATCTTTCATTTCTTTCCTTGATCCCAACATTTCTTTCTGTAATTGGTCATTATGATCTTTATATGTTCGTTCAATTATTTCTTTTATCGCAGCAAAGTCGTGAGAAGCAATCTTTCTGTATTCGCATAATTCAGTTTCATGTTTAATCTTGTCTCGTTTGTTTATTTCCAGACCACAACGTTCATTAGAACACAACACTGGAGCAAAACCACAATTTTCAACATGTCTTTCAAGATCTTCTACATTTATAAATTCAGGACAACCACGACTAGCGTAGTCGCAGTTGATCTTTAACTTTGAAATCAAGTTATTTACAAAACGCGCTGGAAGAAGTGTAGCTACAGTTAAATTATCTTGACATTGAGGGCATCTTTGTGGATTAACTCGTAGATGTTCTTCAATACAGGAACGACAAAACATGTGTTGATTGTGGCACATTCTGGCATCTTTCATGACATTAAAACATATTGGGCAATGAACATCAACGTTGACAGAGCTTTCAAATCTTGATTCATCATATCCACTTGAAACGCAATCATTAGGACGACAAGCCATTTTATACGTTGTTGCATATAATTTGGTGTCAAAATCAATTAAAAATAACAAGAAATTATTGCTTAACTAGAAGATAAGTTGAAATTTTAAGTCGACGATTGATAAACGCGGAAGCTGTAAGCAATGAATATAACAACGCCTTACTCTTAATATAATGGGACACGTGCCTCCAAAAAATCTATTGTGCCCCCAAGTGCTTCCCCCTATTTAAATTTTGGAAAGAGGTCTTTGTCTTGGTATGCAGCATTAGAAATTGAGAAAGGAAATTGTCATGGCGTCAACAAAACTTTTATGGAACTGGCATAACTTCACTACTTTACAGGGACGCATTCCATGAGCTTTGCAAACTAGTTGCATTGCATTTACGCTTTTTGTGTTGTCAGCCTTCATTGCTTGAAATTGCGAAAAAAGTCAACAATACCTCAAGAGAAATTCAAATACGGAAGGAAGAAAAAGTGACACTTGTGGTGTTAGTCTTGAGTCACATTACATTATATGTCATCGAACTTTATGAGATCGTAGACAAGTACACTCGGAGGAAAACGTGGCAACACACAAAAATTCACAAATAGCGTTAACTAAGTCTAAGGTTTATGAAAATGGTTTACAAAACTGCAATTCTTAAAGTATTTTGATATGAAAATATATGATTATAATTAATAGTCATGTTTGTAAATGATGATCGTCCAGGTTAATAAAGTCCTGAGAAGGACCGTTTTTTGGATATTTCTTAACGTTTTCTGCAGCCATAAAAACAAACAACGTATCTAGCTGTAATTTTACACGGAAAATTTTTTCTTCGCATGGGATCAAAGACATAAACCAAAAACAATAAAAAAACTTTGGCAAAAAATTAGTTTGTTCTTATTTCTTCAACAATTGTATATTGGTTTTCACAACATGCTTTCGAGAAAAAGAAGTAACAATTTATAGTAGTCGCCATCGAGGTATTTAAAAGAAGAAATGTAAAAATGTTACAATACCTAAAATGCCGAAAATTGCCTTTCTGTCTGCAAATAATCAACTAGACCTTTCGAATTTTCCGACTAAGGACGTTGAAACGACCTGCTCATCAAAAATATCAAGTCTCCGAATGCTCTTCTTCTGTCAATTTTACAACATTGTTTTTACAACTAGTTAAATAAAGTCATATTTTCAATATTTTATCAAAAATTATTTTATCTAGCTAATATGTAGCCACAAGTTTTTCATGAAATAGGACTGGTTAGAGAAAAATGATCTTTACAGGGAGACACCAACCGTTAGCGACTTTTGTGGGGAAGGGGTGGGTGGACGTCGCTGCGATCTCTCTCGATCTGCTACCCTTCAAATACACTACTGTTTTTAAAAAATTACTTATCGGTTAACGTGTTCGTAAGCCCTTAACTTATTACATGTCATATGTTGTTGTTGTTGTTCGTCCATCGCAAGCGATGATGACCTTGACAAGTTAACTCAAGTAGGTGGTGTTGTCAAGACGTATGCAAGAATTTATTATAGTGAGGAAAAGCTGGCGGACGTCAACCTCACTCTTCTCTAAAATCACATGGAGGCAATGGCAAGACAGTGTCGAGACGACTGGTGGTGACCTCAGATGCAGGAGTATTCGGTTACTGCTAGATGTTATGCAGTCCATCAACGGAGCTCCACCTGGAACCAGACAAGGATAGTTTGGGACAGCAAATTACCAAAACGGAACAAGATGGATGGAGGATGAAGGCAGCACAATGGCGAGTCATGGCAGAGAGACCCTGGGACCAACTAACCTACCAGAAAAGACAGCACCTGGTCTAAACACACTGTTCTCCAGCAGTTTAAAGAACACGTCTAGCCGGCACATAACTCACAAGATGCTCTTGAGAGACCAGGTATCGAACATACAACGGCCATGAATCGCCATGTGTTACCTTTGATGTTTTGGCAATGCTGTCAACCTCTCAAAGATGGTTGGATGAGATAACTTCTCAGAGATGGAAAGATGAGATCACTTTGTCTAAGCACGTCGCTGGCAGTACTGTCTACGGCATTACAGATAGCAAATGTTGATCATTATGACGATGATTACAAATGGCCAGACTCTTACATGTCATATAGCTAATACATAACAACATTATGCATTTTTTCTAGTTTAATGTAATATGAACGAGTTCTTAATTAGTAATAATGTTCAGATACTTTGTTGAAAATTTTCTTGTTTATACATAATTTTGTCAAAATAGTAAAACTTCAGCAATGGCTCCCGTCGTGGTTCATTTATTGAAGGAAGATATGTCCATGAAAAACTTCTTCTCATTTTTAAACACTTCACTAATTTAAGATTTACATTTGTATCACTCATACCAAATTAAAAATTTAAGAATAAAATTAAGAATTTCTGGGGAAAAACAAATTGTTTTGCACGTTGGGGGTATTTTATTTATGAATTTTAGGGACATAAGCGCCTTCCATTCAAAATAAAAGTATTGAGAAAGAGGGTGAGGGAGCTGGAATTGTTGCTTTTTCTTCCATTACAACGACTAATTGTGTTTGAGACAGGATGCGTACATGAAGGTAAAATGAAGGTTTTGAAATAGTACGACTACTGTAAAGACACTGGGACAGCTATGTCTATCATACGATATTTCTCTATATAGTATTGTTAAGGTGGGCACATTGGAACAGTTTCGCGTAAGTAAACTGTACTGGGATGGTAATTTTAAGTATTTAACTTATTACATATACTTTAACTAATTACTGATTAATGAAATTTATAATTTAGTATAACAACAAAATGAAGTCTTTATGACACAATTCATAATGTGAGTAGTCATATGTGGTGACCATACTCTTACTTAAACATAATTTTGTCCAAAAGGTAAAAGTTCAGCTATGCATGAAGATCGTGGTTGATTCATTGAAGGAAGATATTTCCATGAAGAACTGCTGGTAATTTCAAAACACTCCACCGATTTAAGACGTTCATCTTTTTCATTCACACCTCCCATGACAACAACTGTATCACCTATTATAACAGCACGACACCACCTTCTCTTTTCCAACATTGATGGTAAGACTGTTATCTTATATGTTTTACTGTCATACATGATGACACTGTTCAATTTTTCTCTTCCATCATAACCTCCAAGAAGAACAATTTGATCTCTCCATTGAACTGCTGCCATATCAGTCAATGGACGAGGTAATGGAGGCATTTCCTTACATGTAAGAGTCCTTGGATCAAACTCAAAAACACTGTTAAGAAGATCACCCTCTTTTCGCTCTCCTCCGAAAATCAGAACTTTAGCATTAACAACTTCAGCTGCATGACAAAACCGTGGTTCAGGCATATGGCACAACTCTTTCAAAACATGAGATGTTGTACCAATAAGCTGTACTTCACTGATCAGATCAGATTCTCCTTTATCCTTAATATATCCACCAATGTGAAGAATTTGTTGTTTATATACAACAGTTTGATGACCCAAATACTCATGAGGTAGCTCACCATGAAGTGTCTTCCATGTCAATGGTAACTGATTTAGATTCAATGTTATAATTGATCTGCAACCTTTTCCTCCGAAAACGAATATATTATCATTATGTATAAATGATGAAGCTTGACTATGTATCTTTTCCATTGATGCTATCTCAAACCATTTCTTCTCCTTCCATGAAAATATTTCAACACTTTTTAAGGAATCATATGGGTAGCCTCCAGCAATCAAAATATCACTTCTTACTGAGTTCAACAACATTTCAGTTGGTGATGTCAATGTTTGAACATGTTGTTCATTTATATTCATCTTTTCCAACATTTCAAACATCATGGCTTTCATTTCTTTCATTTCTTTGGTCAATGTAAAAAGATTTTGTTGAACATCTTTTATTTCTTTCTTTGATTCCATCATTTCTTTGGTCACTGTAGAAAGATTTTGTTGAACATCTTTTATTTCGTTTCTTGATTCCATTATTTTTTTCTGTATTTGGTCATTATGATCTCTAAATTTTCGTTGAAACGTTTCGCTAATCACTCGAAAGTCGTGAGAAGCCATCTTTCTGTATTCGCATAACTCAGTTTCATGTTTTATCTTGTCTCGTTTGTTTATCTCAAGACCCCAACGTTCATTAGAGCATAACACTGGAGCAAAAGCACAATTTTCAACATGTCTTTCAAGATCTTCAACGTTGATAAATTCTGGACAACCACGATTAGCGTAGTCGCAGCTTATCTTAAACTTTGAAATCAAGTTGTTGACAAAACGCGCTGGAAGAAGTGTAGCTACAGTCAAATTATCTTGACATTGAGGACATCTTTGTTCATTGACTCGTAGATGTTCTTCAATACAGGAACGACAAAAATTGTGTTGATTATGGCACATTCTGGCATCTTTCATGACATTTAAACATATTGGGCAACGAAAGTCGGCGTTAACAGAGCTTTCAAATCTTGATTCATCATATCCACTTGAATCGTAATCATTGGGGCGATAAGCCATTTTTTACGTTGTCGCATATAATTTGATGTCAAAATCAATCGACAAAGACAAGAAATTATTGGTTCACAAGAAGATAAGTTGAAATTCTCCGTCGACGTTTGATAAACACGACGGAAGTTAAAAGCCAAGATTAATAACGCCTAGGTTTATATTTTAAAATATTTATGCAAAACAAAACCAAGACAAAAAAGATAAAACAAAATAACTCAATGAAGCAGATCTACAAAAGACATAAACAATTTGGTAAGTGAAGTGAATGAATTCAAACAAATGAAGTTTTAGTCAATACCATGACGTTGGATGGAATTGTGAACTGTTTTAAAAAAGATATATGGAAAATTTGAATAATTGTTTCAGAACAAATGAAGAAGGTTCTGTTTTACATAACAGAAAGAAACGATCTTAGGCTACAAGAAAAGATCTTGCTTGAGAAAGAAGCTATATGTTAAAAGTTTTGCAAACAAAAACGGTATTCTCACCACTCACCCTTACTTTTAGATCACTCAACTTTATTTGACTCTGAAGATGACTACCGCTAAGGTTAACGAAACGTCAGTCAACAACAACAAAAACAGTCCTTCTCAGGACTATACAAACCTGGATGATCTAAATCTACAAACAGTTGTAACGATACTCCCGGGTTCAAACCA